GTCATCTGTTTAGCGCTTCAGAAGATGGAACGGTATGTGTTTGGGAAACAAGGAGTTGGGTTTGCGAGAAGACATTACGCGGACATAAAGATGCCATCACTTCAATTAGTATTCATCCGTCGGGAAAGTTGATGCTTTCAGTTTCGAAGGACAAGACTTTGAGGACATGGAATCTGATAAAAGGTCGGTGCGCTTATGTAACCAATATTAAGGCGATCGCACACATCGTCCAGTGGTCACCCGGTTGTACACATTTTGCTGTTGTCATCAACAATAGGATTGATATCTACGACATATCTACCGGTGGTGTCGTCAATACTATTGATTTCAGCAAAAGAATTCATTGTATTTTATATTTAAACGTAAGTCAAATGTTTAATCCGATTAACAGATTATGATTTTAAAAGTATCCTTAATTTTATTTTAATGTTAAAGAATGATGTGATGGCTATCGGCAATGAATCCAGTGATATACAAATATATGACTTGAAGAACAAATGTATTATCAATACATTTACCGCTCATAATAATCGATTAAAATGTTTGGTTAAGACTACAGAACATCCAGACATTAAAGAGAATAGAGTTTGGATGACATCGGTCTCCAGTGACAGCTATATTAAGATCTGGGAATTGGATTTATCAAATGTATTGTTATTTTTTAAATTTAAGTTTGATTTGAGTTTTTAAACMAATTGTATTTTATTAGCTAAAATTGGTACCAAAAATGATTGCATCGGTGGACACGACATGTCGTCCCACATGTCTTTCAGTACGAGTTGTCAGTGATGTCGATAAAATAAGCGACGAAAATGTCAGCCAAACAAGTGAGACATCAGAGAACATAAATGTCACCAAAAAAAGGAAAAATAAATCCAAAGATAAGGTCTCTAATAAAAAGGTCGAGACATAAGTATATTAGAGATAATGATTTGCAATTTATTGCAATAATATTTGACACCAATTATAAACTTTATAATCAAATTAAATAAATACTGTATACAGTATAATATAGAAACAATATATATATATATATATTGTTTTAATTTCCGTAATATTTAAAGTTTAAATGTTATTTACAATTTTTTTAATAACGATTAAAACTATTACCCCAACTTTGTATCGTAATTTAAAATAATAATGTTTGAATTGGTTTAATAGTTTTATTTAATATTTGTAATTTAATAGTTTATAAAACAAACTTACTATAAAATTATTACGATATGTGAGAAAAACTTAAAAATATTGATAATAAATATAAAATATTKGTTTATATTTTATTTGATTATATGTACATTAAAATTCTTGTTTAAAATACAATAAAAAATCAAACGATTATMAGAAAACAAAATTAAAAGATATATAAATAAAAGAAAGATCTTATTCTTCGTCTTCTTAAAACTCGAGCTAATTCTTGTATTCKTAAACTAAATGTTTTCGTAGTACTCATTGGTATCGACCGTAACTCAAGACTTAAGATTATCAGAAATGTAATTATTTTTGGTTTTAATAGAAAATATATTTGTCTCCGAAGTTTACATTTTTGCGGTCGAATCAAGTAATTACAAAACATCTTTAGGTCATCGACTTTCTATATTTATAATTTTATTTAGTATTTAAAAGAACTGATCGATGTATTCAATTGATCCGTTGTCTCTGACATTTAGATCTCTCTTGAAGACACAAGAAGTGYCATTTACCAAGAAATGCTAAGAAAATACCATATCATAACCGGTCAAACTTATATTGTTCACAAAATCACTGGACCTGATTACAGATAAACGATTAATTAGAAAAAACAAAATATCAGAATATCTACAAAAATTTTACATTTTCTACAATCAATAAATGTTAATTAATATTAATAAGTAATAATTGTATCAATTGATTGTTATATAAAGTGTACATTTATTATAATTAATCTACATTACACATTAGGTTTGTACTATTAAATATGTATACAATATGATGTGTACAATCATACATTATTATACTAATTTAAAACTTAAATAAATATGACTTTTATATATCAAAATTTTTAAACAATATTTTTAATTTAATTATTGCAATAATTCATACAGACATTCAAATATACTAATTTTTATTTTTTATATAATATTTATATTTTATATTTAATTAACATTATAGAAATTATATTCTAAATTTATTTCTCATTGATTATAAATTTTATATAATAGCAATTACTGTCAATATATAGTTATATATAATTACAATAGTATAGCATAAATTATAATTAAGTTCAAGTTAGATCAAATTATAGTTTAAAACAGAAATATATTTTAAATATAATATTTAATAAATGATAATAAAATATATTATAAAATATTGTAAGTATTTTCCAAACTTACTATATTTGTCATTGAGTTGTATCAGACAATTTGTATGACATCAATGCATTTTAACAGTAATGTGAATATTATCAATAATTGATAATACTATAGACTAATGTATTATACTGTACATACTCTTTAGCAACAATTTAATAATAAATACTTAGTTAAACAATCAATTTAATTGTCTGACAACTATAGAAACACGGTCTTCAAAAACAAATAATTTATAAATTAAGTGATAAAAATGAGACATCAGGTCTGCAACTATAGTTGAGGTCATAAACACCGGTAAACATGAACTAAAAAAACTAAAAAATGATTTCAAATTTTATTGGTATTTCTCAATGAGAACTAATCGACTTTTGTAATCAAACTTAAGCTTAATTTGATTTTCCAAAGATTTCCAGTCTATTAAATCTAATATATATTTATAATCAATTTCTTTAGAGAACAGTCTATCAAAATGAATGCAAACATTATTTTCTTTCAATACGTTTATATAAAATCTATTAACAGAATTGTTGTCAAAATTTCTGTCAATGTTTTTATTAATGATTTGTTTGTAATCTTTAAGTAGTGAATGCATTCTTGCAATAATTGGTTTGAATTTATCATTATCTGCACTCATGAGTGAACTAATAATATCAAACTCTAAGTCTTCATTATTTAAAGAACTAATCTTCTTTGGTATCCTTGCATTGAGATCTGATTTAAATTTCATAAAATGTTTTTCACTATCAATATTATCCATAAACCGGGACTCAATTTTGCAGCAAAACTCGAAAATTATTTTTGATTGTTTCAAATCAGTGCTCAGATATTGTAATTCATGTAATCGTTTTGTTGTCAATGATATTAAAAACTATTAAAAAATGAATTTTTCAAATTAGTTTCATAATTAAATAAATAATATTTAAAAAAAATAATGTTCACATTTAATGTAAGCGATGAGACTAATGGCTTAACATTTTTAGGAACTGATTGGTTCAGTGATTCAAGAGATGTGACCAAAGTTATGGGCAGTGCTTGGATTAAATCACTGATAGTTATATACAATACTCTTAAGATTTCGTCGACTAAAATATCAGAGTCTAATAAAAATTAAAATTAAAGAATTTTTATGTAATTATTATATTTAAAATAAATCATACCCTCATATATTAAATTATTTGTTTTGTAAATTTCTTCGATCTCTGGAATCACTTCAGATGTGACAATAAATTTAATAATAAATGACTTTAAATTATTTACAAGAAATTGATCGACAATTGGTGTGACTATTGTTTCAATGGCTTTATACCACCAAATACGTTGRTCAACACACTTAATGGTTGATTTATCGAACTCTGGCCAACCATTATCTCTAATTTTATTCAAATAACAATAAAAATTAGAAAAAAATTAAAACTAAAATACTTAGTGTATAAAACTTATGTATAAATTTTAATACTTTTCAATAAGTTTGAGCAAAACAGTAGATAATAGGTTAGGTCTGAATCTCTGTAAGAGAATCAATTCAAATATATTCTTTGCATTTGTCACTAATAGATCCCTATTATGATTATCATTCATATCTAACAATACATGTAAAGCAAAAYCACAATTTTTAGATACAAATGCTCTGACAATTAACTTGGAGTCAATGTCATCGATGTCTTTGTCGAGACATAGTTTTGTGTTCAACCAAAACGAGTTTTCCATGAGTTCAGGTCTAATATATTGAATCCAGTGATCATTTGTCAAATTATCGCTATTTTCAGGCAAATTATGATTAGTTTTCAAATCGTCGATAAAATTTTTATTGTCAGTTGTTTTGAGCACCAATTTGATGAATAATATAAAACATGAGTTATGAATATTATTTTGATTATTAAAAAGTAAATCTTTTTGTGAGATTGAAATCTTAAAGAGGAAATCAATGATAGTATTTAATAGAAAATATATTTCATAGTTTTCCAGTTGTGTGGCCGACAAGTGATGAATGGATTCACTCATAACATAATCAAAGATTTGGTTTCGTTTCTCATAATAAGTTAACTTATATTTACATTCAAACCATAATCTCTGCAAATATAGGGCCCAATAGTGAACATTGTTTGAATACATGAGAACTGATACATGTTTTGCCATCAATTTATTAGTTACTTTAACTGATAACTCGGAAAACTTGTCAACACTAACATTAATTTTCTTTAATTTACTACATATATAATGTATTGTATTTAATAAAGTATAACTTTGCATAATTGTCTCAAATTTAACATTATTTAAATGATGAACAAAAAAGTCAATGATATTAACTGAGACAGCATATGATAAAAAAGTTTTAAATGACTCCAATAAACACAAATATTCATAATCATCAAAGTTTGACAATACTTGCGAAACACAGATAAAAACATTATTATTATCTGTATATTTATAACATTCATCAAATGAGTTGTTATTAAAACAATTAAAACTTTTTAAATCACTACTAAATGTCTGGTAAATAGTTTTATGAAACAAATGAACACTAATATTGGTTTCAATGATTGTTTTCCAATTAAACGGGTCGTCAATATCTGGACTCTCCATCTGTGATGAAAACTCTTGTTTGACTTCTTGTAATTTAATATCAAAATCAAGAATACATTTGATTATAGCAATCAAGCCTTTGATATTATGTGTATTAAGTGAAGACAATTCATTAATCAATTTTATTTTGACGTTTTGTAAATACGGTAAAACCACTTCATTATAGAGTATAGTATAGACACCAAAGTAACCATTTTTATAAAGTTTAAGATCACAAGTAATCATAACATGGATTCGTTTGACAAACCATTTCAATGACCGACCGTTGCATTCATTCATTTGAGACTTTAGTTTACATAATCTGATGCTATCATAAAATCTCCAAATTTGCAATCCGTCGTCAAACGATTCTTTAGTATCATATTTATTATCATTCAATTCATACAAAAAGTTTATTTGATTACAAACTCTTTCAAAATCCAAATCGTTTTCAAAATAATCTCTTCTCATCATTGAATCGGTAATCASTTTTTCAATTTTATAACAACTAGTTTTCCAAATAGAGTTAAGACTAACGTTAGAGTGTGTGAGTGTCAAAGTTAATCCTGTCTTATCATTGATGTCACAATTGGTCAGTGAAATCATTTTAATAAATTTTTTTAAGTGTAATAAAAGTGGAAATAAAGATTCAAAATTTAGGTCACAGATGTCCCGATCCAACAGTTCTGCAATTGTTTCGACTGTACTTTGAAAACAATTAATATCTGTTTCTTGAATTGTTTTATTACTGTTTGACTTATGATTAGTTTCGTCATCTTTTCCTATAATAGACTTTGATTTTGTATCTAAAAAGTCCGACAATTCATTAATCAATGAATCAATTCTGTAAAAATAAATTTAAACTATAGGTATAGTATATATCTTTAAGTATATAATTCATCCATTTTTAAGTACAATTTTACTAAATATACTGTAATTCATACAGAATAACAATACTATTACTTCATTATTAAGTTATCATAGAATTTATATAATAAAATATAATATCAAACCTTTTATCCAATACATCGATTGAACTAAGTTTGGGATGATTTGATTCAGTCATTGTTACACAATATAAATTACATTTCAATTATTAAATTCAATTAAATAAATATAAAAAATATAAATGATTACTCAAACACATAGATATGTCAGATAATGATCAATAATAAAATATTGTAATCATTATTTAGATGGAGTGCTATTTTAAAGTTTGTTTTAGTAACAAACAAACAATTTGGTGACAATAGCAACCAACAAAAGCAACTAAATGTATATAATTTTTTATTAAAGTATATTTCATAAAATAATTTATCATTCAATTAAACACTTGTAAATATTTTTGATTTGTAAATTTAACCCAATATATTTTATATACAGTTACTAATTTTCAAAATATTTTATGGTAATAAAAATCTTTATTGTTTATTAAGAAAGATTATATAATTTTTAATTATAATAAATACAATTGAATGGTTTTTAATGATTATATTAATTGAATAATATATATATATAATACAAATTGCGAATAAATTTATAAGTCATTAAAGACAGGCGGCGTCTCAGATCTGGTGGCTGTGGCGGTGGAAGCGGTGATGAGATCATTGCTCTGCAACATACACATGTTCCAGTTAGCCATGAACTCCAGTCCATCCCTGTCCGAGTGATTGCGTGAATAGTTRAGTGCAATTTTAGTCCCCTGTACGGCCACTGGGCTCCGAGTGGCTATTGTTTTGGCCAATTCTAAAGCCGACTGAAGTGATGTCTCGTGATCAGCAAATATTGAACCGACTAAACCCATCTGTTTTATTAAAAATTATTATTTATTACTTTAAATTATTAAAAATATCACAGAAATATAGTCATTACCTCTTTAGCCTCATTTGCGTTAATATTTTTGGCTGTGAACGCCATTTCCCGAATAACACTATCGTTTCCCACAATTTTTGGTAACCGTTGAAGACTTCCTAAATCTGCAGCCATTCCGATACCAACTTCTCTAATAGAAAATATGGCGTCTTGTGAACAATACCTGATATCTGTAGCACTAATGAGATCTACTCCGGCACCGATACACGGACCGTGAATGGCCGCTATGACTGGTTTCGAGCACTTGACAATACTATTGAATGARTTTTGCAAAAGAATTATCGCATTCCTAAGAAACTTGGCTTTGGCCGCGACATCACTGGCATCGGGACCACCGTTAGACACGTGACCAATCATATCYAACAWATCGGTAAAGTCGAGACCAGCAGAAAATGACTTTCCGGCTCCAGATATGACTACAGCTCTACTTTGTTTGTCGTCATTGATCTCATTAAAACACGAAAGAATTTCACGAAAGACATCCCGATTCATAGCATTACGTTTTTCGGGTCGATTCAACTGTACGTGCAATACGTGGTCATAAGGAGCCGATACTTGCAATGTCTCGTATTCAGCGTAACGGGTCGTATACGCGGCCGCAGAGTAATTGCGTGCGAATTGATTCATGACATTGAAAACTGTCTTCTGTTTCAAACTATTGTCCTGAAGACATATTTGGCCTTAAATTTAAAAATARATATTTATTTTATTACAAATTATATTAAATTACTACTAATATAWTGTAAGWTAAAAGTCATGACAAATAGTATACAAATTCATTGTTTAAGTAAATAATATTTTGTTTTAACAATCTATATATATAATAATTTGTAATTWATTTTATATATAACTTATAAGTTACATATATATATATATAAGTTTAATATTGTATAATATAATATAAATTTAGTTTGTATAATAAAACTAATTATAAAAAGTAATTCCTAGTCATTAACTTAACTAAAATTTTTATCTTATTTACAAAAATTTAGTTAAACACTATATGTTTATGAACTTTGAACGAAATCAATATAATATTTAATGCTATCATAAATAATGACAAAATATAGAGAATTTTGTGATAAACTACTCGATTGAGTTCAACGAGCAAATCATACATACAGTACAATGAGTTTTATAGTAAACAAAATTAATTAATTAATTGCAAAACATTTTTTTGCTGACTATTGTTTAATAAATCAAAACTTTTTAAATGTYTTGTAATAAACAAGTATTGAATAATAGTGTAATTGTTTTGTTAAATTTTTAAATAATACCGATTCACATGCTTTTCAAAATAGCCTTCAAATTCAAGGTTTGGAAAACACTCGATAACAACACAACCCGTCCTTCAAAATGATCATATAATTCATGATATCGTATAATAATATACTTTATTTAAAATATAGGAAATTATATCAAATTTAATATTTTTAGATAATTGACAATTTAGTGCCAAAACTTTTGATTGATATTCTGTGATAAATGTACTTTAGATCTGAGTATTGATTTTAATATCTAATTGTTTACTATAGTTAATATTAAATCAATCATATCATATGATTTTAATAAATAATTTAAAAATTATTAGAATTATCTTATTAATAATAAATATTTATAATTTTCATTAAATTTTGTAGAAATCATTAAATTATATAACAGGAAAATTGGATATTAAATGTAAAAAAATCAAGTTTTCAAGTTTTTAAAGTATATTTGAGTACATTTTAACAATAATTGTCAATTATTGAGTATATTTGAGTTTATTTAATAATTTTAACGTAATATTAAATTGTGTGTACAGTGAGTGTTAAAAATGTACTCAAATGAATGATTGAATATTTTAATATAAGCACAAAATCATTTCAAACACAAAAAATGAATACAATTTAWTATACTATTGTTTCATATAATATATAGTATGAAATCGTATAATAAATTGTATTATTTTTTTGTGTTTGTAAATGATTTTGTGCTTATATTTAATGATTTAACACAATAATGCATTATATCAGTAATTTTAAAATCAGTCTATAAAAAAAATTGTTTCATAATACATGTGAATAACATGTGTTGAAAAAAACATTTGTTTTTATGGACATTGAATGACAACTTTTATACAATCTTTTAAACATTTGATATAACTTATGTATACTTAAATTCAGTTGATTTTGATTTTATGTATACATAAGCAAGTGTTTAGTTTCTTATAAAATTGTCATTACATTTATGTGGTAAAGAAACTAAAAACATTAATCATTTTATTGTAAAAGTACTGTATATGTTGTATAATTTACTCAAACTTTTTTATCCCAAAAACATTATAATTTATTGACAAATTATCAAAAAGTGATATAATTTTTTTAATTAAATTAAAGTAGATTATAAATAATATTACTTTAAGAATAAAATATCAATTATCATTAATACAGAATATACTGTACTTTATATACTACTGTAAAATAATATTTTAATATTAAWTGTATTTCATATTAAACGCTAAAAAATGACATTAAATACATATTAAATACATACCAATTGTTTTGAAAAGTTTTGAAGCGGACATTGTATTGAATTAAGCGATCGATTAAATATTATTACTTTAATTATTCTCAAATAATTATCAAATCATTTGTWGTCAATATATTTTACTTAGTTTTGAAATATCTATAATTTATTAATTAAATGACAGTTTTGTGATTACTTTTATACTCTAAACCATAAAATGGGAGKAAAGGGAGGACTGGCTAATATACAAACAAACAAAGCGATACTAACGACAAATGTGTTCAGGTTTTGCAATTAAACAAAGTTTTTTACATCAAATAAATTATATATTCAGTACATGTACTCTACAGTATATAAGAGTAAATTATAAAAACAAGTTAGCACTGGATCTACAATACATATGTTATGATTCATGTAAAGCAAGGTCTAGTAGTGTTTCATTGATTGCTTATCTGTTTATTATTTAAAAAATGGTTAGTTTTGTGTTGGTTTAAAACTTTTAGTACCTCTTTAGTTAGCATTTTTCAATTAGCATTGAATTTTCAAGACTTAAATGTTAGAAAATACTTAATTTTTTAATGTATAATATTTAAATTGAAGCAGAATTTACTGTATAAATGTCTATTATATATTAAAATTCAATAGTAATATCATTCATAATGTGTAATCAAAAGTCTAATATASCGTATATCAGGAAATTATAGTAAACTTTTCTCTTAAATCATTATATAGTGAATCAAAGTCCACATTGAATAACAAAATCAAATGGGAATTCACGACAAACAGTCTCCTCTTTAATAGTAAATAACAAATTATGAAATACCTGTATATTATATCATATGATATGGTATTTCATAAACAAGATTTCTAATAAACACTTTAATTACAATAAAATAATTTGAAAAATAGTTGATTAATTGTATATTAAATGCCAAATATTCTACAAATTTTGCAACAATTAATAAAGTCTATTATTTTAATTAATTACTAGTTTGTCCCGCGCAACATGTATAGATGTGCAATTCTTTTACTAATTTAAAAATATTCATCATTAGTAATTTGAATGGCTGCCTAATTTTTTTTATACATCATAATACTTAACCTAATGTAACAAAATACTGTACCAATACACATTAATTCGTCTAAACTCTTTTTTTAGAAATTTTAGATTTTTAAATATATTTAAATAATTTTAATAAAAATTGAAAATTTTATCATTGTTGAGAAAAATTTTTGCATTTGAAAAAATTTTACAAAAAGTTAGCATAGGTAGCAAACCTCCCTGTGCCCTGTGAGTCATAAAATATATCAAAATGTAATTGCACAGCACCTGCCTACCTATCCCTAAAACCTACCTGAGCTCAATAAACATTTATAATTTCCCATAAAAATAACATTACTTTAAATAAAAATTGAAAATTTTAATACAAATTGAAAATTTTTGTATTTGAGAAAATTTTACAAAAAGTTAGCACAGGTAGTTAACCTCCCGGTGCCCTGTAAGTCATACAATATAGCAAAATGTAATTCCAGAGCACCTGCCTACCTGTCCCTAAAACCTACCTGAGCTCATTAAACATTTAAAATTTCCCATAGAAATAACATTGCTTTAAATAAAAATTGAGAATATAACAATACATTTTTAGATTTGAATTAAAATATGGTTGTTGAGGAAAGGTGTCATACAGACAGACATACATACAAAACTATTATATTAAATTATAGATTAAATAAAAATTATTATTTGAACTTTTACTAACGTTATCATAAATAACAATAAGAAATAAATAATAATAATTTAATAATAAGCTATTTCTTTGTATATAAATTAAATATTGATATTATTTTACATTTTTATTAATTAATGACAATATGTGGAGCAATGCAGACAATGATAATAATGTCGATTACATTTGCAATAATTATTAATATTAAAAGTTTATAAAATATCTATATATAATAGTATATTATGATATATATCTGATAATATCAATAAATATGTATTTTGAAAATAGTAATATAAAACAGATTATACAAATCGATAAATTAATAAAATTTAAGGCTCTGAATGTCTGGTAAGTGCGGCCACATATACCCAAACCGAGAATACATTGGACGGATAGGGATGAACATAGACTGTGAGCGCAAACTCGACGCTCTTGTCTTCAGCCAAATGAACTCCAGTGGCGAACACGGCTTCAGTTATGGAATTAAAGTCAGTGAACGGCATATTTAAGGGAAAACCAGTCATCTATATATAATAATAAGTTTGTAGTGTTTTCTACTATATATTAGACAAACCTCATGCAAGACGAAGACATCGTGAAGTTGTTGTATTAGATGATTGATATTAACTTTGCCGACACTCTCGAGTCGTGGTAACATCTTTTTGATTGACTGAATGATATGTCTATTAAAGAAAGTTGTTTTCCTTTTTCTCCATTTCATAAACCATTCCCTTAAATGCTTTTCCAGTTTCTCTTGAAGTTGTAAAGCACTGTCAAAATCACTGGCCGTATAATTCAAAACTTCGGGCTTAAAATGTGTGAAAATGTTAGTAATATTATCGGTAATATAAATAAATCCAAAAGTTTATACCTGAATGCTAACAATAGGTGGACTGACATATTGTTTGCCAAAAAATGGTCTCCAATCGGAACTTTTATTTATATCGTAATTAAGTCGATTTGGATGATCTGACTTTGAAATGTTGGCGTAAATCTAATATAATTATGAATATTATTTTCAGTTGAAAATATTATAATGAAAATCGTTGCTTACATTTTCAGGTGTTATAATACATCCGACAGAATTGAGAGGTATATAACTGTCTCTAACACTGAACTGTTCACCAGTCGATGCATTAAAAACATAGGGATCGCGACCGTACTCGAAGACAATCACATAAGCAGTCAAACCTTCGGGTATACCATTGCCGAGCAAAATGGCGGCTCTTTTCTCCAAATATAAGAAATAATTGCACAAAAGTATCGCGTGTTCCTCTTCATCGCCAATCAGCATATCTAAGAACTGATCGCAAGTACACCATATGTCACATACACCGGGCATAGCTATACTATCCGGTACTTTAGGGATTAGTGACAYATATCTGGCTAAACGTTGCATTATATCATTGGTTACATTAAAATTGGTCAGAAACTCTTCGGGCGGTTTTAATGGTCGCAAATATCGAGTAACCAAAACTGTTTGTGCGTTCATATTAACTGCTAATGTCTTAATATTTCTGTTGGGAAACTCAAGATTGAGTCTAGACTTGTATTTCTTTGCATATATATTAAGTGATTCACTCTCCAAAGTATCGCACTTTTGTTTAAATAAATAATATATTATATAATAGTATAATATATAAACAATAATTGGTAGAAATTACTGAAAATACATACTTTAATAATCATTGGTTCGGGTAATTGCAATGAAGGATCAATTGTCAGAAATAAAGTTAAATAAGTTTGTTTGGAGGAGTCTTTATTGATGGTATCGGAGCCTAATAGCCAACCTTTAGCATCGTATTCATAACCCAATAATAACAAAGGAGTACTTAAACTGAAAGTACCTAAATATAGAAATTAAAAAAAAATCATTTTATAAATGTTTAACAATTTAATTAAAATTTAATAATTCTAATTAAATGATATATTTTACCTTCAATTTTTGAATTAAGATAAAGTGTTGAAAATGGTATCTTAAGTGATCCTAACCATCGGCGCTCTTTTCTCTTATGTATTACTTGTTGGCCATCGCTGGTAATACTTTCATCTGAATCGAGAAGCACTTCATCAAAAAGGTTAAAATAAATACAATCATTGATTTTAGCTAAATTTGATGGCAAACATTCATCTTCTGGAGCTCTGTATAAATGTTAGAATATGTCAACAATTATAATACCAATTGATATTTTGCTAAAATAATAAAATACTTAAACTTAAGACATAGTGTCTCATTCCAAGTGGGTTTAGTGCCGTCGGCTGTATTAGTTCGGGCGCTCTCACGCTGGAAGACGGCCTCAACAAATGGACACACTTTAGATTCATAGCTAAAATCTAATAAAAATAAAATATTATTTTAATAATAATGTTATAATACGGTTATAATGTTATTGTTATGCCTAACCAATATCAGGAGTAATAAATTCACTATTATTTGACTCTTTTTTCCTGACCGGGACATTGAGTCCATGCATTATAGTGATGACAATCTTAATGTCTGAGCTTTCAATCACATTAAAAGCTAATTTTTTTCTTTCCTTTCGCTGAGGATTTAATGGTCTTCGTTGATGAGCTGCCGGTATAATCTTAAATCCAATGGCACTGATTTAATTGTAATCTATTAGTTTAGTCCAATAAATAACAATTAAAATCAAACAGTAAACCTGATTCCTGGCATATCCTCTTCAATAACCATATCCTCAAGAGTTCGCGGCCTATCAATTGTTCCGCTCGATTGTTTGACCAATTGTTGACTTACTTTAGTAAGCAATTCAATTGCATTTTTTCTTCGGTCTTCAAAGTGTTTACTTGTACTCAAAGGAGTTATTGTTGTGTTTTCTTCAAACAATTCTTTTGGTATCTCTTTGGCATTGAGCGGAACAAAGCGGTAATTCTTGAATTGTGGTACTCCTTGCCATCGCATTGTAAGTAACTTAAGTCGAGTGTCATTATCAATATCTTCATCACTGGCAAACACAAGTTCTTTTGCCAACTCTTTATTAAGTGATTTATTTGAACCATCGATGGTTTGTCTATAATTTTCAATTACACTAATTAAATGTTGATTTTCTGTTTCATTGATTCTTAATTGTTGTATTAATCGGTTTAATTCTGTGACATTAAGTGATTGTAAATTAGTCAACAATTTTCTTTCATTTTTGTTTTTTGTTGCATTTGTTGAATCATTAATAAGTTCATTAGTATTGTCGCCTTTAAACAAATTTTTCAGTATATCTTTAAATGACATTTCAGTTGGTTTTGCGGAAGAAACTAATTTTAGATCGGCGTCTGATTGCGGACTATAATAGACATAATTTTTGATATCGATTCTGTCATTATTATCAATAAAACAATTATTTGTGTCTAAAAATTTATCGCATAATTCTTCAGAAATTAATCTATTTTTAAGTTTATTAACATTTTTTGCCGTAAGATTTGAATTAATTTTGTTCAATGATTTTAACTCTTGATTTACTGATGATTCGTCACTAATCTCTAAACATTTATCCGATGGTATAAATAAATATTGATTTTCATCTCTTATGCGCTCTTTTCGTGATTTAACTTCAGTTTTGCATTTTTCCACAAAATTCCAATTATTTGTAGAGTTTAATACATCAGTAATTAATAGTCGGGAATCCCGATTGTCGGGATTGTCTTCAATTTGAATCACTTGTTCGGCATCTCTTTTCGGTGATTCAATAGTTTTGTTTGAATCAATTATCGTCTCATTATTCTTAGACTTAACTAAGTTATCGTTTCCAAAGAAGAATTCAAATGATTCGTCTCTGGAAACAACAGTTTCGGATAATTGTGTATTGAATTCATCGAAAATACATTGTTTCCAATTGTCTCGACTACTGGCCCTCAACTCTATATCTTTTTTCAATTGGTTGTCTTGAGTCTCGAGTGCCTCTTTTGCAGTAAATTTTTCAGTGACACGAAGTTTAGCCGTTTTCAAGCGATTTCTAAGTTTTGTACGATAGGCCTCACTAAATGTCACATCCATTTCCACTTTAATAAAGTTGGGTACAAAATATGATATAATATATCAATAATTATAATATTTAATTGTTTGATTGCATGAGTTTAATATTATTATTTTACAATAGATATAAAACTACTAGAAATGGTTCCCTGGAAACATTACTCCCATGAAAATCATAACAAAAAAAGTTTATTAATACATATATTATATAATAACATTACTCTATTTTATATAAAATTTATTATATTGTATAACTGTATTCTACACAATGTATAGTCTATACTATAGTATGCATTTATAGTTATATAGTGCTCTAAATACATGTCTATTTTATAGAATATAATATCGATATAAAATATTATTTCATTTATTAATACTTTTTCAATTTCTTAAAAACTTATTTTTAAAGTTGAATAAAAATCTATACCATTCACAGATAAAATAACTAATTGTATATTTGTTGTAATTAACTTACAGTATTTAAAATATATTCAAATATATTATAATTTATTTAAATTGGTAAAAATTATTTAAATAGTAATAAATTATAAGAAAAAAAATCTTCTTAATTTCAAAATTTAAATTATTTATGTGATAGAGTCTATAAAATAGACATAAAAACTTGTAAAAATTAAAGTCAATAATCAAATAAAAATTTTTACAATAGATTTCAACACAATTTGGTAAAAAATGTTTAACAAAGTATTTTAATTAAAAAATTAATTTTTAATTTATTATAATAATTACGGTACTATTGAAAAATAAAATTCATTTCTAATTTCGTATAAAATAAAAAATAAAATTAATCTAATTTAAAATCTAAACAAATTAAAAAACAATTAACTGAATAAACAATAATTTAGTAAAAAAAATTAAATTAAATTCTTTTAAAAATATAATAATAATCTAATCTATTGTCTCCTAATCGGTGGTCGCGTAAGAATCATCTGTTGATCCTTTAAATCATCAAATTCTTTGCATTTCCTATATTTCGGACGAATTGCTTCCGGAAATGATTGTGTAGTCAAACGGGTACTCATATGCCATAAAATTATATATATAATGTAAGACCAAGTGTTGAGAAATCCTAATATGTATGCCATTAAACCGTAAGCAAAGTAATAAATTATTGAAAATAAAATCTGTTATTTAAAGAAAATAAAAATTAATTATTTTCAAATAATTGCCGATAATTATATATTAATACATACGTGACATATAATGAAAAATACAAAAAACAAATGTCTTAAATGGCAATAAATTTGGACAAATCCGGAACCGTTTAATGTCATTAACTGTTGATATCGACTATAGATTATATGTGACAAACATATTGTTATAGGAATTTGGAAAAGAAGTATCTTTTTTGAATAAATAAAAAAAATAATAATTATTTTTAATTTAACAAAATAAATGTTTGTTTAAATAAAAATCTTACAAAAATAGCTCCGAGCATATAATTGATACCCCCCGGTAAATATGATGAGTCAACAAACAAACCCCAAACAAAAACAACTCCCAAGTGATCATCTAATAGATAGCCCACAAGCCATGGACCTACAAATATATCAACAAATAATTATTTTTCAATTTTAACTAATTATYCAATTAATAAAACAAACCGAAAGTAGCATAAAGTGGAATAATTATCAATGGAATCAATATTTTGTTAAAATTTGTTAATAAATATAATTTAAAAACAAATCTTCTGATTGTATTTGTTTCACAATTTTCTATCAGTTGTTTGACTATTAAATAACAAAATAAATGTTTAATAATAATATATAATAAAATATTTTAATTAAATACCGCTATTGTTTGGTAAAAATTTGATTAAAATTAATGGAACAATACTCGAGGCGATTGCAAAACAAAATATAAAGTAACCCTAAAAATGATTAAAAATCAAATTTATAAATAAAAATAATTTTCATTCAAACTATACATACGATCCAATTGTTGCCAATTCTAAGCATAAGTCGTCCACCAAAAGTAAATTCACCTTTAGATCCATCCAATGAAAACTCGTGTCCAACTGTTCTTTCATTATAATCCGTGTCCTTTCAATTGAAATTTCATTAAATATTAATAGTTTTTATAAAACATATTAAAAAGTAAAAAATGAAATAAAAAGAAGACTAACGATTGCCATAACTTGTATGGAATGGAGACCAGACTTGTATTCATTTGGTTGCCATTTGTGAACAAAAAGTGGTCCCGAAATGTGTTTCATTTCCATCCAATCGTTTCCATCGATTCTAAACTTAACTGAAGTTAGTTTAGACTTTGAGAATACAAGAGTCCGGATATGAGTCGAGTTAATCATTCTATAGTACGGTTCGTTTGGCTGTAAATATAATGCATTTTTCGGATTTGTAATCAATATAATCCGGCCATTGATTTAGTGAGAAATCAATAAAATTGAAGAGTCCGTGATCTATAACCGCCAATCGGATCCCTCTATTGTCCCTCCAATCGGATAATTCTATTTCAAGATAACCGGTTGGTTGAGTTGAATACATGTGATTGACTAAACCGCCGACAGTATGAAAATGACCGCAAAAATAAGGTCCACTAAAATAGTTTGTAATATAATTTGTTTATATTTTTATTTTAAAAAATAATAATTGATTTGTTTTACTTAATAATCTCTCGAAGTCCAGGAGTTGGCATTGCTATGGAAGAGGTCGGGTAGTGACCGAACCAAACGGTATAATTGGATTTTTCTTGCAMTGACTGGACTTTCATTTGTTTTATTTGATTTATATCTTTTTCATTGAGTAAACCAATGAAATTGAACGGTCTTTTCGGTGATGGACTCAAACAGGCGTCGACAGCAATAAAGTTATAAATTTCTGTCTCATGTTTGACACTATATCTGTACGAACTCTTATTCTGTGATCCCATCACTGAATACTTCTTAAAATAATTGTTATGACTGTTCCAGTTGTGGACATTAAAGTTATCTAATTATATAAATCATTAAAAAGTTATATAAAAAATAATTCAAATAATCAAACCATGATTTCCTCTGATGTCTAACCAAATGGTTTTGTTTAAGACATTAGTTTTATTCAAAGCATTCCAATAAGTAATCCATTCTTTTTCGATGACATCCGAACCCATCGGCACTTTAGTCCGCGAGTCAGTCAGGTCTCCGGTGGCCAAAACTACCGACGGCTTTATAATATCAATATATTCGGTACAAAATTGCTCCAAATCTGGCGCTCGATTAAAGTCAAAGTGAAGACTAATGTGAAGATCTGTGATCTGTTGGACATTAAATACAATCAAATTGTTTGAACAAATGTTTTGATAAAACAATTGTTTATCATTTACCTGAAGAAACCAAAATGTATGCTTCAACTGGTCATCCAAACTGATCGGGTCGTTGTCCGACACAAGTTTTGAGTGAACCTCTCGGAGGTCGACATCAAAGTCGCGGCCAGTGTTGAGTCGATTCAACAAAATAGCGGTAAATGACGACAAAATAAATATCAATAAAATCACAAACAGTGCTAACTTTGTCAACATTTTTAATATTTTATTGCAATCCATAAAACAATTTTTTTAAAATTATTAAAACAATTTTGTCATCGATTTTAATAATAAAACACCAAATAATTTACCAAAAAATAAATGAAACAAAAAAGTATTTCATTATAATTAGATTCAAATAATAAAAATCAATAAATTATAAAATAAAAGCTAATAATAAAAACAAAATAAAAAATCAATGGTTTTGTTGTTATAAAAGATATTCAATCAATTGATTGTCACTAAAGAGCGGATGTGTTGTTATAATCATAATATTTATGTCAAAAGTCATCACATTTTGCTTTACATTACTATTGAAGTCATTTAATATATTTTTGTCAAACAAATTAATTTATTTTATTAAAAATTTATTAAATATTAAAACATTTTTTTTAAACAGAAAACTAAATATTTTGCTAATATTTTCATCAAATTTATTGTTTGAAAAAATATAAGTATTTTCATACAAATATTTTAGTAATTTTGTTATAAATGTCTTTTAACTGATATGACTCTCAAATCATATAACAAATAGTTTTCAATAAATATTTAAAATCTTGTATTCAATAAAAATGCGTTAAATTAATGAAATGTAATATATTTGAGTGCTTTTAGTGTTTAAAAGTAATGATTTAATAATAAATAATAAAAATATGAAAACTCATGCAATGTTTACATTTTGTTACTTCATTCACACAAAACACTATTATTGTATCAACAATTTTGTACCATTTAATCACTTTATAGCTATTGAATAAATATAAATATTTTTATATATATATAAAAGGACCAACCGATTAATTTGGTTTAACCCTTAACTACCAAATATTATTGAAATTAAAAATGTGTTAACTGTATGTCTGTTTCAAGTGTCAGTTACTATGCTTTGAGTGATTGTGTGTTAAAAGTGATGAATCATATAAAACAATACAACACTTAACTATCGATTATTTATATTATAATAGTTATAATCACTTCAATCAATACAATCAAACATATCGTCAATTAATTGGGTTATTATAACTGATAGCCGACTGACTGACCAAACTATTGGCCACCGATAGCAATGGCCGAGCGCTATAACATTCACTCGCAATTAGAGCATTTGCAGTCAAAATACATCGGGACGGGACACGCGGACACATCAAAGTTTGAATGGATGGTTAACCAACACCGGGACTCAATTGCCTCATATCTCGGTCACTACGATCTCCTCAACTTCTTCGCGTTGTCCGAAAATGAGACCAAACAGCGAATCAAATTCAATTTGATGGAGAAAATGATCCAACCGTGTGGTCCGCCACCCGATAAACATGAAGACTGACCGCACATTTATCTATCACTTTAAATAAGTGTCATAACATCTATAATAATATTATTATTTTCATACAATCATTATTATCTCATTTTTTATTAATTGATTTGTCATTTTTGAAATGCTATGTATTTGTCACTAAGTTTTTCCATTTATTTAAATACAATAAAAATTCAAATAAATAAATAATTAAACAATCAATACAATAGAGAATTTCAATTATGAATAATAATTACTAAATGAAATGCAATTAATTTAATATATAATATAATTTGAATTAAATTATATTAAAAAAAATTTCAATTATTCAACAAAAAAGTCATAGACTTTGTGAACACTGTGTCGGCGTAAGTCACGTGACATTCAATGCAAACTTAGGTCTAAATCGGAGCACATTTTCCACACATTTATTGTTTGTTAACAACAATTGAATTAATATTTTAAATAATTTGTCAATTATTTCATACTTTGAATCAATCATTGAATCAATCATTCAATTGATTTGTTGACAACAAGTCATTCATAAAGAAATTATTTCAAAACAAACGACAAATACTTTGTGCGATAATAATGACAGCAAACGAGAGACCATCAAAGGAGCAGAGCTTTAAAGACAGAGAGAAACCACAACAGATCCGATCGAGTAATATGACGGCCGCTAAAGCAGTGGCCGATGCCATCAGGACTTCTTTGGGACCAAAAGGCATGGATAAGATGATACAAGCGGGTAATGGCGATGTCACGATTACTAATGATGGCGCCACCATTTTGAAACAGATGCAAGTGATACACCCGGCCGCTAAAATGTTGGTCGAGTTGTCTAAAGCACAAGATATTGAGGCCGGCGACGGCACGACCAGTGTTGTAGTAATCGCCGGATCCTTTCTCGACGCTTCACAGAAGCTGTTGGCCAAAGGTATTCATCCGACTCGCATATCCGATGCATTTCAAAGTGCAGCCAAAAAATGCTCAGAAATATTGGAATCGATGACAATTCCAGTCGATCTTAAAGATACGGATGCATTGATAAGAGTGGCCACAACTAGTTTGAATAGTAAAGTTGTGTCACAACACTCGTCATTATTGTCACCGATAGCTGTCAATGCTGTTCTTAAAGTAAAAGACGAAAATAGTGTTGATTTGAGAGATATTAAGATCATTAAGAAATTAGGCGGAACTCTGGACGACACGCAGGCTATCGATGGACTGGTTTTACCACAAAGATTTGCTAATGATTTTGGGGCCAAAAAAGTAGAGAAAGCAAAGATTGGTTTAATACAGTTTTGTATATCACCGCCGAAGACGGATATGGATAATCAAGTGATTGTCTCGGATTACACACAAATGGATCGCATACTTAAAGAAGAGCGCAATTATATATTGAATATAATTAAACAAATTAAGAAAACCGGATGCAATGTATTGTTGATACAAAAGTCTATTCTTAGAGATGCACTCAACGATTTGGCTCTTCATTTCTTAGCCAAAGCCAAGATAGCTGTCATTAGAGACATTGAACGCGAAGACATTGAGTTTGTTTGCAAGTCTTTAGGTTGTCGACCGATTGCATCTTTAGATCACTTTACAGCCGACGCCTTGTCTAGTGCTGACTCTGTTGAAGAAATACCTGGAGCTAAGTTTGTTAAGATAACCGGTGTTTCGGCAGTGAATGCCAACAAAACGGTGAATATATTGATTCGTGGATCAAATAAACTGGTTCTCGAAGAGGCCGAGCGTTCACTTCATGACGCTCTCTGTGTTATTCGGTGTTTGGTTCTAAAGCCGGCACTGATTGCTGGCGGCGGCTCTCCAGAGATTGAGCTATCGATACGTTTAACTGAATTAAGTCGATCTCTATTAGGATTGGATGCCGTTTGTTATCGAGCCTTTGCCGAAGCACTTGAGATAATTCCATTCACTTTGTCTGAAAATGCTGGACTCAATCCAATCTCAACGGTCACTGAATTGAGACAAAAGCACGCGAACGGAGAGAAGAATGCAGGTATTAATGTTAGACTTGGAATGGTTACCGATATACTTGAGGAGAATGTCGTCCAACCACTTCAGGTGACTCTATCGGCCATCAATTTGGCCGCTGAAACTGTCCGCTCTATTCTTAAAATTGATGACATTGTTGCTACCGTTCGTTAATTTATAACAATTTTCTAATTATTCATTTTATCTAAATTTGATTAACTTTTTGGCAATAAAATTATTTAAAGCTTTTGATGAGCCTATCTATTGATTTAATTTTATATAAATCCAGCATTTTATGTAATTTACTAATTAATCAATGATTTAATAAAGAAATTAACTATCAATATGTAAACATTTTTTCTATTTTTAATTAAAAAGTCTTAATTTTTAAAATAAAAAGTTTAAATTAAAACTGTAACAATTAGTATAATAAGTGATTTTTATTATATAGTATTTAGGTTAGGTTTAAAAAAGCATTGTGAAGATAGATATAAATTTTTAATACTTATCTATTTATGATATTAAAATGAAATAATATATAAAGATATTTACATTAGGATTATATAATAAACAAAATATGATATTTTTCAAAAAGTCATCATTGATTCGGAAAGTTTTGCACTTTCGATGGCTTTCTTTTGTTTGATTTTCATCTGTTCGCTGGCCATCAGTGTCTTCTTTGCCTTAATGAAAGCTTTTGCGCCACGAATTAGTCGCTTAATGTAATCGAATTTTCGACATTGGATTCGTAAAAATGCGGCTGAAAATTGTTGGCCACTGGATATAATTAAACAGTTGAAATAAATAAATTAATGGAATGATTAAGTTAAAAATATTAATTACATTACTAATAACATACCATAAATAGTGTTTATCTTCGGCACTAATTCTTACATTGGGACGAATAACTTCATCCGGGTATGACTTGGCATTGATGTGAAAAATTAAATGAATTGGTTTTATTATACCCAATATTTCAACAACCAATCTATAAGTATAATGAATTATGACATTAATTATCTTTTTTAATTACCAGTAAATGATTACGAAATCAATTACACACCGATAGCGATCTTTATTGTCTTTAGGATAGAATCGACAAATTTCTGCCGATTGGATGACCCGAAGTTCGATGAGTAGTTTCTTAGCACTTTGTGCTCTCACAGAGATATATGTGAGAAGTTCATCGAGTGTTGAACTGGTCTTATGCTTTGCTTTGATGTCTTGTTCTTCCATTTGAAAATAAGATATGATTAAGTCGTGAGCTATTGTTATCAATGGTTTGTGCAGTTCTTCAAACTTTAACATCAAGTCTTTTTGTCTCATCTGAAGGGAATCTTCGGCTGTCACCATAGACTTCATGTTAATGGCTATAATGTGGCGAACAGGAAATGGAAGGCATGTATTGTCTAGAAGACCACCAAATTTAACCTCCAGAGCGAATGTTGCCCAAAGAAAGCTTATAATAGCCTTATCTTCATTTAGCACTTCATAAGTAAAATCTAATTCTTTTGCGTCAAGTTTTTTCAATGGAGTAAACATATCATTGCAATCTTTTTCTGTAGAATCCGGAGTAATTACAATCAAATTGTGATCTTCAGCGGGGATTACTATGTCTTCCATTTGTTTCTCCAATTGATCTGTTAATATACAAAGTGTGTCCTGTCTGACAATAAACGACAGTTGCATAGGGCTGGTAGTCGTGTCATAAAACGAAGCGTTCGCGTGAAAAGATCGGTTCGTGTGAATAAATGGATCAAATGAATTGGAGTCTTCATCTAATGGCTCATTAAATGTAAAATTTAAAGTCTTATCCACTGTTGTCGGACTGGAAACTAAATAATCATTAGTAGAATTAATCATTGATATTGATAGTGGAGATGTCGAGGCATGGGTTAGATCTAAAGGTAGAGACAAAGTTCTTGAACTCAGTTCAGAACTCATCTCTTTAGATGATTCAGAGGTTGAGTTACTATTTGAGACTTCAATATTACTGCAATCCATTGACATACCATTACTTGTTTCGTAACTCATGTCAGACATCGTTTGTTTGATTGTTTCCGAATCCAATGACTTCACAGAATCGGATAATTTTGTCTCAGAATCTGATGATTTAGTTTCAGAACTTAAATCGGATGAATCTGTTATTTCTGTAGATATTTCAGCGTTTATTGTGTTTTCATAATTTGATGCATCTTTTAATGTCTCAGCATTTAATGTGTTATCAGAATTTGCTCTAATTTCTGTTAACTTAACAATTGTTTTCATTTGTAAAACTTCTTTACAAGTGTCTAAAGCTGATGAAATTGGTTGTCCAGTGATATGATTATCATTAATATCGATATCGATTGGCTGTGAATTACAATCTTTATTTAAAAGACTAACTCTTGGCGCGCATTGAATTGATTTACGTTCGGTTCGCTTGAAAATATTAGGCATTGTTTGACCAATTTGTAAGGTTTGGTTCATATTGTTTGTTGAAACTGTATTATTGGAAACAATGCTCTGAGCCAACCAACCCATACTTAGTCTGGATGAAGAACTTCTATTGTTTTGTGAAAATACGTTAACGCGTGGCATAGCCTTTAATAATGGCATCTTTCGGACTAATGGTTGCTGTATTCGAGATAATGTCGGTATTGTTGACGATGTTGTCGTGGGTTGACTCATGTCATGTAATGAATTATCAGAGGGTTTGTCACTAACATTGGAACAAATGACAACATCAACGCCATTCTCGGAACAGCTAATATTTGTATTGTCATCATCGTTGACAATAGTCATAGACTTATTCGTGAAATTTTGGTTATTATTACCGGTAAATGTATTTGGTTTAAATATCTTATTACCGGAACAATCGATAACATTGGTGTCTTCATCATCGGTTACCATAGCCATCGATTCATCCCTTAAAATACTTGAATCAAATGATTTAAATGTGATATTCTCTTGACTCTTAGCAATAGCTGTATAATCATCTGCATTGACAATACTCATTGACTTATTAATCAAATTTTTGGTATAATCATCGATAATATTAGTATCGTCTTCGTCTTCATTTATTATAACCATCGAATCATTATTGGATCTATCGGTTACATCTGGATTCTTATCGGTAATATTTGATGCTAAAGACATTGAGGTATCCATAGTTGTTAAACTCATGTAATGAATTGATTTATTAGTACCGATAGATGCATTATCACTACCATTGGAAATACTGATAATATCACTGTCATCTTCTGCATTGACAATAGTCATCGACTTGTTCATCAAAGTTTCAGTAAAGTCATCGGATGAGTTTGGTTTGAATCTCTTAATATCGGAACAATCGATAACATTGGTGTCATCATCATCGGTGACGATAGCCATAGAATCATCTTTTAAAATGTCATCCGATTTACAAATCATCATCTCTTGACTTTTGATAACAGCTGTTCCGTCGGCCAAAAGCTCTCTAAATGTAACAAATAATACCAATTATTATAACAAATCCTAATATAAATTAAATTATTATAATAATTGATTAATCACTGAAAGACATACTTATATTGATAAGTGTTGGCCCAACTGACCCGTCGGGATGTACGTCGCTCTTCGCCATAATTGGTCTCAAATGCCTTTAATATCTAATAATAATAACAATTAATTGGATCTAACAATAGATTTAATTAAATCACTAAATCACTCACCGATGACCTCCTTTTACAACTTTTGCGACCGCCGTTAGTGGGGATCGGATCGAAAGCAGACATGAAGTCATCGTTTTCTTTATCATTCATCATGTAATGGGATCCGATGTATTGTCAACGATGACAATAATGAAGATATTAACAAATGATATCAATTACACCAAATAAATAACTAAACAATTAATCGATTAATTGATTGTAAATAAACAACACTTTAATTATTTACAAATGTTGTGAACAATAGTCAATGTATTAAACTGTTTACAACTGTYGATAAATTCAATACATTTTCAAACCAATAAAATTCAGACATTCTATTGGCTAAACAATTGCACTAATAGTCAGATACTATATATTATAATAATAGCATTAAAATTTAGTTATAATAATACATAAATAACGTAACAAAACATTCATTTTTAACGTTTTTATTTAATATTTGCGAAAAACTTTATAATTATTTTGAATGTAGTGATGAATCTTATATTTGTATTGAAAAAAATGCAATTTTAATACATTTCAAAGTATATTATGTCTTAAACATAAATTTGTCGAAATCATTGCTTAAATGGCTAAATAGTTTAGTAGATAATTTAATATTGGGTTATATCGGTTAAAATGTATTCATATAGTTATGTATATATTTATACTCAATTACAAGTTATGGATTACGTCTAAAAACAAATTACTTAAAAATAATGTGAAATGAAATTTGTATTTTAGTGTCGAAAATTGTTTTTTGTAGTAAACAGACTATAAGTCAATAGATTTTTATTATTAAGTTTCTCCATTTTCCGATCGGTCTGGCGAGCGGTCATTTTTCTCAGCCGACGGCGATCGTGAATGTGAACGGGAGCGAGACTTCGACTTAGAGCGGTCTCTGCTCACTGATCGGCTCCGAGTGCGACGTCCATTAGGCGACTTACTCCTACTTCGTGAACGCGATTTACTGTCCTTATTGTTACGCTTAGGCGACTTAGAGCGAGACTTCGAACGGGATTTTGACTTCGATTTCGAGCGACTTCTCGAAGCACGAGATCGAGATCTGCTGCGACTCCTAGACTTTGAGCTGCGACGTGATCTCGATCGTGACCTCGAACGGGATCGAGACCTCGACCTACTGTTAAATCATTTTTAAAATTTAGAAAACTTAACAATTAAATCATATATATTATTGCAAACCTTCGGCGTCGTGTCTTATCTTCAACCATTTTGATACGTCTTCCATGAAGATCAGTTCCATCCAATTTGTCCAAAGCATTCTTCATATCAGTATATGAGGCAAAATCTACAATACTGTTCAACAAATATAAATAAAAGTTTAGCTCAATATTCAAAAAGACAATCAGTGGCCATAACTTACCCCATATTGCGCTCACGTTTGTGTGCGTCCGCATACGTCACTTCTCCGGCCTGTCTCATGAAGTCTTTGAGGTCCTGTATTTTTATCGCAAATAAAGTATTATTATAACAATTCATATTAAGCAGAAAAACATTACTTTCGTTAAAAATGTTATTAATAAATAGTAAAARTATATGAGTTATACACACACCGACAAATAGCCATAAAAATAAAATGCATCACAAATATTATAGTTATGGGGAAAATATAAATTAAAAATATCAATATTTAATTATTTATTAAAATGCCTCAAAAAAACAGAGACTAACTTTATGATGGATTGACAATATATTGGCTGACACTTCAAATAAAGTCTAAGCTTTTAAAATGTATTGTTTGTTCGTTCAGTCAGTCAATTAATCAAATGGTTAATGAAATTTATAATTATAGAGAAGTAGTGATTACCTTATTATGAGTTTTAAAACGCAACGGATTTCGGCATTGATTTTAAAGGACACACAAAGGAAACCAAAGAAAGCGGTTTATGATTAACAGTGATATTCATTGATATCAACAAAATATCAAATGCATTATTATTAATGCAATTATTGTTTGGATTTGAGTGGACAACCATTGTATGGCAAAAGGTCTGAAACGCCAATCAGTTTTGTCGCTTTTATGGCTAAAATATGATTTAATTTTTAATTTATTAATTTAGGCGACGTATCGTATTTACGGCCAGCGTTTTTACGGACGAAAGCGAGCGATTGATAGGAATCAAAGACAATACAACTATCGGTTTCTGTATGTATGATACGGTCTGACCAAACATTGTCACCAATGCTTTTGTTTTAGGAGACATCAACTGTTTTCTATGATAGTCCGTAACGACAGAGAGGGTATGGTAGGTGTGACACATCGTCAGCAATGAATGCCCCCAACAACTGTCTGTCTGATCATCTCATCAATCGTCTAACGTCTGAGTCTTAGTTTGGGTTTATGTTTCTTATAACACCTGAGCGACAATGTATTTGATAGAAAGATAGGACCCATTGAGACATTGAGTGGTACCCAATGAGAGTGCTAACCATTCATCAACTTTGATTGGTTTGATTGCAGTTCCAGACATTTTTTATATGTAAAAGATTGACAATAATTTTATATAATCAATATATTAATACTATATTTCCATAATCTTATAATGTAATATCTGGTCACTAATAAACCCGTTAATTACAAACCCATTACCGAACCATATGTTAGCTTCATATATGAAGTGAACATATGTTTCGATTTGATTGACACTAACATAAAATAATATATTTATAAATGACTAACAATGAGGAATAGATGGGAGACAATGATAATGGATAGTATAAGTGAACATACCTGCCAACTGACTCTTGAGCTCAAGTTCTCGACGATCACCCGGTACTCAGTGTTCCTCGGAGGACCATATCTGGAAGACATGTAATCATATGATTGGTTGAAGCAGTCATGTCATACAAACACATCGAGTTTTTAAGAAAATATTGTTCAGTAAATCATTAAAGATTTAAGACAATGACACAAAACAACACACAATGATAGCTATCATATTAGACCAACTGATCAATTATTGTCATTAATCGACAATAACTGGTCAAATATTGGTAACTAAATAATGATATATGAATTGGTATGGGAATTGAAGCGTATAATCGGTGCCAACCAATTTGGTGATTTGCGCACAGGTAGTAAGTGATGGTCAAAGTGCGACAATTTATGTGTGCTGTGAGTCAAAGTCAAAAAATAAATGCCTTACTTTTCAGCATAAGTAAGTCCGCCAGAAGGTCGGTCACCACGACTACTATAATACCCTCCGCCGCCGCCGCCACCACCACCTCCTCCTCCTCCATCTCTTCCTCCACCTCTGGATGATCCTCCGTATGGCCTGAATCGTGCCCGACCTCGTGATGGACCTCTAGCGAACTCTACATGCACTCTATCCAATAGAAAGGGAAGGGAAAGTTATAAAACATTGCTTACTTGTCGATCCAACTATTACGTGGACGTCTCTCTCGGCCACCACGAGAGGAGCTAAAGGAGCGGTTATAATATGGTCTTTTGGTGGATCTCCGGGCTAATTCCACAGACACTCTACATAAGCACAGACACAGACAGCATTGGCTCAGACAGGTTTAAGCTAACACATCCACTATCAGATCACTTATCGTGTCTCTGCTTATATATCCCTATCATTAATGCTATCATTTTGTTAATTATTAATATCTATCAATTATCTCATCATAACGTGTTAATCAATAACTAACGACTTATGGTTCATATGTATTAAACTATATCGGATCCTAACAGTCCCTAACTCTAAACAGAGACATAAAAATTGGCGTATAAATGGTCGCCAATCAAGACATCCAGTAATAACTATATGTTTATATTAAAGCAAATCCTATAAACTCATACCTCTCGCCCAACAATTCTTTGCCATTGAGTTCATAGACAGCATCGTCAGCGTCTCTGTGGTCATCAAACTCCTGTTAATAAAACAATTAAAATAAATTAATATAAACTCTAAATTACTAAAATAAGTCATTAAATTACAACAAATACTAACAACAAAAGCGAATCCATCTTTCATTAAAATTTCACGTATTCTTCCGTAGCCTTTAAAGAACTTTTCGATATCTCTTTCGCGGACATCATAACTGATACGACCGATATATACTCGGGTTCCCATTACTGGTCAACTGTTATCAGATAATTATATCAAACTATTAGATAAATTACTACAAATATTTTTAATTAAACAAATTAAATCATTATATCATAAGTTATAATAGCAATGTCAGCATATGTTGGTAATAAATGTCTTCAATTGTTATTAAGACCCGAAAGATAATATCATCACTCATTGCTATAATTATTCATTAATACATTATTTAAATAATATTAAAAAGCATTGCAAATATTACCCAAAAACAAAACTTACAAATTATATAAAATATTCAAAGATATATTTATTACAATTTATAAATCAGTCTTTTAAAATCTTTACTAAATTTAGTCTAATTGTTAGCAAAAAAAAGTGTATAATTTAAAACAAATTTGTTTTTTTTAGTATAAAACCCATACGGAAAACATTGAAATAATGTCTTCAATCAAATGTTTTAATTAAAAACACATTTCATTTGTAATCATTACTTGATATTTGAGTTTTTAAAAAATGCTAAATAATTGTTTTCTATATCTGATATTAATTTTAACATTAAATAGACAAATATAGGTTAAATAATATACAACTATAAGTGTTATAACTATAATATTGGCATTGATTTGTGTGATTGCAGTGAAAGTATAGTAATATTTTAATTGATTTTAATAAACAACAAAAATATTGAGTAAAACATATATTATTTGAAAAATAAAAATCAATTTTTTGACTTACATTTGAATTGAATGTTTTGTTTCAAGCGATAGATATGTTAAATGATTTACAGTTTAATACTTATATATTAATATATTATTGAATCAAATGATTCATTTAAATACAATTAAATTTGTTATTAAAAAATATTAGACAAAAAATTGAATAAAACATACAATTAATGTATATTTGATAAGAGTTTGTCTACTATTAAAATGTCTAACATTTCAAACACTATAGTATTGTTAGTACTGTTGGGCGGAAAGGGATATAATATTTGACTATTAAGTGAACGCCGATATTCATGTAAATTCAAATAATCAGTAATAACGTCCTAAAGGGTCGTTATATATGTATAACTATTATCCCATTGATTACTATCTAAACAATAATGTTATGATTGTTGACGTAATTTATTATCAATATATTTGCAATTAAAATGTCATAAACAATGGTATGTCATAAGTGGTGACATCTTTTTGTTTAATAAATTCATAAAATGTATGATATTTTTGGTGAGCTATTCATGTCTTCAATGGTATAGTTTTTGTTGACCACAACTGATCCAATCGGCTTAAGAATACATATATAACAGTAGACATATAAAAATGGGCGGAAACTCGCGAGTGGTTTACTTCTACGATCCCGAAGTTGGTAACTTCCACTACGGTCCGGGACACCCGATGAAACCGCAAAGACTGGCCGTCACTCACTCACTTGTCCTCAACTATGGTCTCTACAAGAAAATGCAAGTCTATAAGCCATATCGGGCCACATATCACGATATGTGTCGGTTCCACACTGAAGAGTACATCTCATTCCTCAATCAAGTGACGCCCTCAACGGTTACTGAGTTCACCAAATACTTATCGAGTTTCAATGTGGGTGACGACTGTCCAGTATTTGAGGGTCTCTATGATTTCTGTTCCCGATATACCGGTGCCAGTCTTCAGGGCGCAGCTATGCTTAACAATAATCAATGCGATATAGCCATCAATTGGTCCGGTGGTCTTCATCACGCAAAAAAGTTTGAGGCCAGCGGTTTTTGCTATGTTAATGACATTGTCATTGCAATACTGGAACTACTCAAACATCACGCGAGGGTTCTCTACATCGACATTGATATACATCACGGCGATGGAGTTCAAGAGGCCTTCTACCTGACTGACCGAGTGATGACCGTTTCATTTCACAAATATGGAAACTATTTTTTTCCCGGAACGGGTGATATGTATGAAACGGGTCTCGAAAGTGGACGATATTATAGTGTGAATGTACCGCTAAAAGAAGGCATTGATGACAATTCATATGCATTTGTCTTTAAGCCGGTCATTACAGAAGTAATCAACTGTTTTCAACCATCAGCTATAGTATTACAATGTGGAGCCGATTCGCTGGCCAGCGACCGATTGGGTTGTTTTAATCTATCATTTAAAGGTCACGGAGAGTGTGTTAAATTTGTTAAGGACTTAAACATACCATTGCTTGTATTAGGCGGTGGGGGCTATACTTTACGTAACGTCGCCCGCTGTTGGACTTATGAGACGAGTCTTCTTGTCGACGAAAATATCAGTAATGAGATCCCATATATGGAGTATTTTGAATATTTTGCGCCAGAGTTTACTCTGTTGTCCGATAAGGGCGGTAATGATAACCCGCACAATGCCAATACCCGCACCTATTTAGAGAATATTGTTAAGTATGCGTCGGAAAACCTAAGGAATATACAACACGCGCCGTCCGTTCAAATGCATTACACGCCTCCCGATTGGTTTGATGGCACCGAAACCAATGATGGACAACAATTGAGTGAACGAGAAGCAGATAATGAGTTTTACGACACCAAAGATGAACTCAAACCTAAAGAAGAAAGTGATAAATAATTATTTCAATATTATGCGGTGTCACTCATGTTTAACATTATTTTTAAACTATATTTTTATTTATAAATTGTGTAATAATTTATCATTTGGTAAATAATATATGTAATCTATTTAATTTTTTCATCAATTATACATATATTAGGAATTAAAAGTTGTCTCAAAATTATTTTAATAATGGTTTTGACATTTTTTGATATTTTAAGTGAAATATTATTTAACCAATTAGTTTGTGTAATATACTGTATATTAATTTTAGTAAAATATTTATAGTATTTAAAAATATAAACTTTTTTTTATTAATTTAATGTTGATTTTACTTATGAATTATGATAGTTATTTTTAAACAACTTTAAAGTTTAATTTTTACAATTTGAATAAATATTATATATATATAGTAAATACATTCAAATGAAGTTTACAATTAAAAGGATATTATAGTTATAAATAAAATACAGTATATAATTAGTTTTTAGACTCTTTGAAACAAATGGGTAACTAATTTGTGGCATTTGGTCTTCTTGTGGTGATTTGTGATCGATTGGCATTGATATTGAGTTCCCGTCGGAGCCACGTATATATCTGGCTATTGGACAGTTCACTGACAACACAAGCACTTAAAGCACTCTTGTGTTGACCCATTCGCCACATTTCTTGCCAACTATTGGTCACCGGATTATAGGACTCCACTTCGGCTATAGTTGTCGTTCCCTATAATAATTAAAAATGAAATTTATGATAATTTTATGTCATTATATATTAACAATTTAAATAACATTATATTTTATTAAACATTATAACATTTAGATTAACAATATATTTAACTAACATTGAAGCCTCCGATCACGTAAATGATGTTTTCAAGTACAGCACACGCGAAGTTGGATCGAGGAGTAGACATATTAGTCAATTGTGTCCAACTTTTTGTGTGAGTATCATATTTTTCAATACTTGTCTGTCTTGTGTTGCCATCATTACCGCCGATAGCAAACAAGTATTGATTAGCATAAGAAACCAATTGGACGCCACTTCTTGGAGTATTCATTGGTACTATAAGTGTCCACTCATTGGTCTCCGGATCGTACAATTCAGCGCTTCTTAGCACTTCACTGCCTGAAAATAATTTATAATTTAAATAATAAAAAATGTTTTGACATAATTATTATAAACCATTAAAGCCTCCGACGATAAAAACTTTTCCGCCCATTGATGTCGCAGACGCGTCACTTCTCGCGTGATTCATATGAGCAATGAATTGCCACTGATTTGTCTTCACGTCATATCTCTATTAAAATATTAAACATTAAGATTAAAGCATTGAATGTCAATAAAACACTATTTTGACTTTACCTCTGCAGAACTGGTTCTAACACTTCCATCAAATCCTCCCTTTTTTAAGTATAAGAAGTTGTTATTATAGTATTGTTGAGAAAATAGCAAATAATTCTTAAGCTTACCATTGCATATATGAATCCATCACAAACTGCAACACTTACATAACATCTTAATATAAGATATAAAATAACTTTAATTAATATAAAAAATAAAAGATGAAAATAAAAGTACAGACCTCGGAGTATGCATACAGGACTTCTCAGACCAAGTTCTGATCAATGGATTGAAGGCAAAAACGGTATTGAAATGTTGTCGACCCTTAAATCATAACAAACTTATTGAAAATTAAATTAAAATTATTTAATAATTACATCAAAGCCTCCGATGACATAAATTAAACCATTAAATGAAAGTAAGCCATGATATGAACGATAAGGCGCTTGACTTGAAAGTAAATTTTAATTATATTTTACTTAATTCAGAGTATATATAAAGACAATATCTTACATTAAGCACTGATTATCAATGTTATACCACTTATTGACCCTACAATCATAGGTTTCAATGTTGTTGATGGCATTAGAGGCACTCCAACCGCCAAAGACAAAGAGGATATCTCGAGGAATTCTTGGTCTCAAAAACGGATGTAAATGAATGTCAAACTTTGACGGCAATGGATTTGCGTGAATATCACTCAAAGTGTCGTAAACTCTATTCATATAAGAACTCAGCTCTTGATTATCCTTTACGAGAATATTCTCTCTGACAGTCGATTCAACAAATCTTAGAAATAAAAAAAACAATTTTTGAATTTTTTTATAAATTTATAAATTAAAAAATAGTTTACTTAAGAGATGAATTGCCAAAGCGGACCATTTTAAGCAATTTATCAAAATGTTGGACGCGTTGATTGTTAGCCGAAATCCAAGAAATAAGCGCTGAATATGTAAACTCTTCTCTGCTTACATTCAATCGGTCATCACTTAAAAGGTCTGCCAATTCGTCTCTATTAAGTGAATAAAAATCTGGACATTCGGTGCAAATCTAATAACAAAACAAATCAATTGTTAAAAAACTGATAATTTATTTATTAGATTAATGATTACTGCAGTGAAGTTGTAAAGAATAAATTCTTTTGATTTTTCGATGACTTGAGTGGCAAAAAGGATTCGTGACATTTGATAGATACCTTAAAAATAAGACATTTAATTATAGATTTATATATTTAATAAATTGAATGAATCAAATATACGAATGCAATTCTTTATGTTTAACGATTTGATCCAATATTCATAGCAATAATCGGTCGCACCATTGATCTGAAGTCTATTCACTGCCTGAATAAGTGCTTCAATATTGTGGTCATTAATGCCAATCAGTTGTCCCGTATATACAAAATGAATAATGATTTTTATGATCTCTGATGAGATGTCCGGTAAAAACACTTCTTGATTCTGATTTTCTGAATACAATTCATTTGAATAGAGAGCCATAAAGTATGGACTGATGGCTGCAAAGAGATTGCGATCAATGGGGAACTTCTGGAAGTCTGAGGTCACGATATTGGAGTCGACGAAAACGGCGTTTCTTTGAAGATCAAACAGCTTTTCCATCCATACTTTCCTTTCATCGCTAGTAAATGAGTTAGTATTAAATTTGTGTAATTTGTAATAATTATCAATTGATTTAAAATCAAATTACTTTGAATTCTCTAAAACAAAGTTTATTTCAACACTTTTAGTCGACTTCTTTTTACTCAAAACTGTTGTCTTCTTTGTCTTAGATTTTTTGGTCTTCCATTTGATGGGATTGACACTCATTTCTGTCGAAGAACTCAATTACTTAAATCCGTTAACAGTTTTCCTATCGAACCGTTAAACCAGTTAATAATTGCTATGAAATGTTTGAATGCAATGTTATTAAGAATATTCTATTGCACGTGAAATACATGAATTCAATAATAAGATTAAAATTTATAATAATTAGCAATTAATTTATTATTTAGTGTTATAAATTTAATTATATCTATTTCTTTACATTAACTTTAAATCAATTGCAAACAAATTATAACAATCAGTTTGACGACTAATCAAACAAGTGGTCGACCAAAGCAATCACTACTACGGATTGCTTGTAATATTGACCATCTCTTGTGTTTGAAGAAAAAACTTTAGGTTTATTACGAAAAGTTAAAAACATATTACCAGTAAATGATATTAATCTTACAGTAGTTTTCTCAAAAAGCTATGTATTTAATATATTTTTTTAATTTGGATATAAATATACAGTAATATTATTTATTATATGAAAGTTATTTATTCCTATATTTGTGGAAAATCGACATTAATTAAACTACGGTAATTGTTGTGCACTAAAAATTAATGACCGGTAATAGATATTTTTGTATAAATTTACAGTAATTATATCATTTATATTCTTTATTAATAACAAAATTATCAAATTTTCATAATAATTATAATTATTATAAAATTTGTTTTAATAAAACCAGAATAAAAAACAGAATTAAGCGTTTCATTGATTAATCAAAAAATAAAAAATCATTTGAAAGTTATTTTTTATTATTGCTAACGAAAATTGAGCCCATTTTTCGGTAAAGATTTTCTTCGACTATTCGCTGACCATTCATACGTTGATCCAACCGTTCGATAATATCTAATATATCTGTATTATTAGGTTTCTGTTTGAGTGCTTTCTGAAACAATCTATTGGCCACTTCGTACTCTTCGTTACACATCTTTGCCAATCCGAGCTGATAGAGGGCTTTAATATTGTTAGAGTCGATGTCCAGTGCTTTCTTACAATAAGAGATTGCAAAGTATGTCTTCGATAATTTATTGTAAGCGTTGGCAATATTGACGTAAAGTTTTAATAATAATTCATTTGATGTCTTTTGTTCTTCATTTGTTTTATAGGTAAGATCTTCGAGAAAACGTATGGCACGTTTGTAACGGAAAGCAGATTCACGGATACGGTTGGCTTTAAAGTAACCATTGGCTGACACACGTTCTTCATCACACAACTTATAGATTGTTTCAAAAGAAATTTCTGATCGTTCCTCAAAAGGAATGGTATCAAAATGAGCTAAAGATCCCTCTTCGAACACTTTAATCACTTCTATGATAAACAAAACCGTACAATCAGGTGGTATTCGCGGTGGACAACCCATCGATAGATATGCATAGTTAGGTCGCACCACAAACTCAGATCGTTCACCTCTTTTCATAGAAGTTATAGCAAAATAAAGACCGGGAAGTAAAGTATCGTGACTTAGCCGATGATTGTTTGGTCGACCCCTAAGCCATGTCGAGTCAAATGGTTCGTCCTGTCCTTCAATATAACCGTTAAGATTATACAAAACAGCACTTTTCTCATTAATCCGTTCTCCAGTTCCGTTTCGAAGTAACTTTTTGTAGACTCCGTCTGCAATAATAGTATCCATAAATTTGATCCTTTCGTCATAATTTTCGGAATCTTCGCCGATGTCACTGGGCTTTGGATTTTTGTCCAAATTAGCCAATATCTGGTCGCGAGTCCAATAGACTTCCTGTTCATCTTTTTCTTCCTCCGTTGGACTTTCTTCCGACTCGAACTCATATCCCTTATCGGTAACGATGTCTCTGTTGTTATCAAATCAAATTCAAATGACAACCGAATCAATCATTTAATCAGTTTGTGGTCACAACCGATACATACCGAAGAGCATTCTTACTCTGTATGGGAAGTGAGACCATATCACGAGACACATCATACATATCGTTGTCTTCATCCCATTCTTCTGACAAATCAATCACTTCTTTATCTTTTGTGTCCATTGATGGGTCACTCTGTCAGTCAATAACTGATTAATTATCAAAACAATTGGTGAAAACAATCAGTCCTTCAATACTATTGTTATGTCTTGTGTTTTGTCCGATCAGTCAATACTTGAATTCAATGAAAACATCAAACAATTGACTCATTCATTGGTTTAGCGCTTAAAACAACGTTTGATTAAACACTGACTCAATAATCAAGTGTTGCGCTCATTGTTTGTCCACATTTTCACATTTGTTGTACTTATAAAACATTATTATAATTCATAACTTTAACAATAGTATGCATATGTTGAAAGTGAGTGATATAATGAGTCACACATATAATACATAACATAACAATTGATATCAACTCTCAAAGTCAAGGGTTTAACTGTGGCTTACAATAGCATTGAATTGTAAGGGAAGTGACAAATGTTTGTAATATATGTTATGAATGTTTCAAATTAGTGTATTATATGAGTAATTCCCGGTCACTCATTCACGGTATGTCCCAATGTTGTGATTCCCGTTTTCAATATTTAAATATAAATTTATAAATTGTYTATATTTTAATATTAACAATAATTATATGTTTTAGCATTTAATTGACATAATTATCACAAATAAATTTATACCAATCCAAACATTCACATGTATTTCGGGAATCACGACATTTTTGGGATACAATATTTATAAACTATATTTTTGAGTGTTTTTTTTGTTGACATTTAATACAAAACACAAATTGATTTCAAATGATTTGTCAATTGATTGTTAACTAACTATCACTTGAATTGATCTCAATTTTAGTTACAATTTTATGTATTAAATATTTATTAAAAATTGTTGTAATCGTTGTATTGATTATATGAATCATTAATATTAATATTTGTTTGTTGTTTCGTCCGGTAATCACTTAAATCGTTGAAATAATTGTAATCACAATAATTTAGTGGACAATGTCTGGACCACCGCCGCCGGCAGCACTTTCAGGACAACCACAGGTCAACACGTCATCGATTTTTCCATTACCTCCGATGCGCTATATAAACCTGTTTACTGATGACAACGTTGCGACCAAATCATGTCCGCAGCCGCCAAAGCCAGTGACAGAGGGCCAGTACTCAATGTTTGGTCAGACTATTGCAATGGACGACCAAATTATCCGATCGCTTGAGTCACAGGGACTCAAACGATTGTATCCAAGAGATTATGACCACAGACGTGAACTGAAGAAAATGAATGCATCCATTTTAGTTAATTTCTTGGATCTGTTAGATGTTTTGGTTCGCTGTCCAGAAACCGAAAAACGTGAGATTAAAACCAATGACATTCAGCTATTGTTTATAACAATGCATCACTTGATCAATGAGTTGCGTCCACATCAGGCACGGGAATCAATTCGGGTGATGATTCAGTCACAGAAACGACAGCGCTTTGAAACATCCGCCAGACTTAGCAAACAAATCGATAGAGTCATCGATTTGGTCAACACTGCCATCAACTCCATAGCCGATGACACTATCAATGAGACCTTAGATCTCAAGCCAGACATTAATCGCAACACATTAGTGACCAAATGTAACGATTTAGACAATTCAATGGGTGATAGTATTGGTTCAGAAGTGGATAATACCTATGAAAAGGACGCACTTATGTGTGATTTTGTTGAAGAATTAGCGTTTAGTTAATATATTAATAATAATAATTCGTATCATTATATTATATAAACATTATTTTATTTGACATTTTATTTCATTATTAAAGTAATTTATTTCTTAATTTTACAAAAAGAAACGTTCATATAGTGAATATTATTTAATTAATGAAAATATATAATTAAATGTTACAAACAATGTCTATGAAGAGATAGTTTATAAAAGAGATACTGATATATACTGCAGTCACTAAAGATAAATAATTGACTATAAGATATGGATAAGAATTTATTTGTTTATAATTTTTTTCTTAAATTAATTTTCGTAATAAAATATAATTCAATTAATATAAACACGATTCAAATCAATAATAAAATTAATAAATGAATGACAATATTTGCAATTTTAAAAATTATATAATGTCTTCAAAAATGCTTTGTGTGTATCCATCAGTTGTCAAGCAATTGGTTCGTCTAATGTGTGGTTTATTTGGTCGCAAACATCATCTGTCAAATCAATTTGAATTTGATTGTTGACAGAAGACTCTTCATCTTTATTTTGCTGTTCTTCCTCATCCTTAAGCTCATCCGTGTTTTGACCACCAGTTTTAGTAAACCTATTATTCATGGCACGTCTCACTTCGTCGCCTCCTTTTTCGTAGATTTCTCTTAACAGTTCATCAACTGTTCCATCAGCTGACTCTTTGGCCTCTCGTTCCTTAAAATCGTTGACAATTTTATCTAAATTTTGCAGCACTTTATCATCAGTCTTAGCGCTATCATTATCTACAATATCATCAGTGTTTGACTCATCTGACTCTATACCGACTATTGTGTTCATCAAATCAAATGTTTTATTGTTGACAACACTAGTAGTGGCATCATTTGTGATACCGTTGTTGATATCATCAGTAATTGCTTGGTTGCTGTCTTCAGCACTAGAACTTTGAGCTTCGGATTCCTCCTCAGTCTTGACCACCCAATTGGCACTTTTAATCGTCTGCGACGGCGCCTCTAAATTAGCCCATCGTCCGCCGTCTTTCTTCTTAAGTTCAATCTCTAGCTTAGAGACTGTTAACTTCCACGAACTCTCGTCAACAATAATAGGCTTAAATAAACTAAGTTTGACGTTAAAAGTCGGATCATTAGTGTGTTTACACGACCAGAATAAGGTATTCTCTCCGAACTCTACTCTCACGTCTTGTTCCGTAAGGTTCGGTATATGTATGGATATGATAACAGAGTTGGGTGTCTGATGCCAGTCATACTTAGGACCGGTACTCTCGTCCACCAGTGATGTGTTAACCCGTATAATCTCTGTGTTGGCCTTTTTGGTTGGACTCTGTTGCTGAACAAAACCAACAAAACTTAGCGGCCGTTTACCAGTCTTGTCGGGTAATACTTCAAGACTTTGCCATCTTTTTCTGTCTGTCTTTTTAAGTTTGACCTCTAGTTTTGATGGCGTGACCGTCCAATTACTTTCCGATACATATATACTCTTAAAGAGATTAAAATGCAGTTTGAATTCACTGCCGTCGGCGAGACTACAGCTTACGTCTAAAGTTTCGTCAATTAATTTCACTTTAACATCACTTTCCTTCAAATTTTTAATCATAATATTAAGTATGACGTGAGTCGATGTCTGATACCTGTCCATCGATAGCACCGGTAAAACAATACAACTATTAGAAGAAAAGTAATCAATTTTGTGGTCACTTACCAGTCGTAGACATTGCGAGTGGCGCTGAAATTGCCGGTACTTTCCTCAAGCATTGTGTAATATCAATGCCGTGGTGTCCGACTGTCGGTGCTATTTGTTGGCCAATCGGTTGTATTGTTGGGAAATATCGTCGATGTGTTTGTGTGTCAGTTGTGGTCAAAATCAATGTTTGTTTGCAAACAAATCACACATTCATTGCATTCACTGTATTGTTATGTTTGACGACTTGTATTGACTCTAACTATATAAAGATGGCTGAAGTATACGATTCATACATTCAATATTACATTCATTTTCCCTAACATTTCCATTATATTCCCAATAAATTTAATTATTTATTCGTTTAATTGTTTTTAATTTATATATTTAATTAACTAATAAATTACATAAAACATTCAATTAAATAGAAGAAAATTAATTTTATTTATTTATTATATTTATTTTAAATGATTAATATAAATTATTCATACTCTGGGAATATTGTTTGTTAACATTTAAATAGTATATATTTATTAATATAAATGTTAATTTTAAAATTATAAAAACATAAAATTTTTATTTTATATTATATATTTTGTTAAATTATATACTAGTTAAATATAATTTTATAAAATCAACTTTTTATGATTTTAATTTAGTAATCATTTAATTTTTTATTAAGATTTACAAAAAAATAGTTATTAATGTATAAGAATTATCGTCAGATGGCAATAGTATTGTTGAGTTAATAATTATTTTTTATTTAAAAATACAGTATTAATACATAAATATATTATAAATTTAACAAATAAGTTATAAACAAATTATTTTATAAAAAATATTGAAAATATTTAAAAAAAATTGTTTTGTTGTTTAATTATAATTTTTTTTACTTATTTAGATTTTTTATGTTAATACTGTATATTGAAAATTTTAATAATGATATTTTAAAAAGTTTATTATAATATCTAACTTACTGTACTTTAATTAAAGTTATCTACAATTTGTTTTGTGACCCAAACACCTGTTTGTTAGATTTTTTTGTGAATATTTTAATGATCTTTTTGTATATCAAATAAGCGATTATTGATAATTCTAATTATTATCATATTATTGAATTGCACATGGTTAAATTTACATAAATATGCGTAATTTGCATGAAAGATTCATTAAAATTTTAATTATATGTATATTTTTTTATCTTTGAGTTGTTTTAATAAAATTAAGTAAAAATTAATTAATCTAATGTAGAATATTTAATTATATTGAAAATTTATTTTGTAAAACATATTTGATTTGACTTTATCTCGAATATGATTAATATAAAAAATATGTCATTAGTATTATTATTATAATTATAATTATTATTATTAATTTTGTACGGTATATTAAATAACTAATAAATTAAATTTTCTATATTAACAGTTTTGTTATTTTAAACTAAATAACTTATTTGAAGACAAAAATACAAGAAAAAATGTGATAATTAGAAATAACTATAATATAAGTAAAGAGTAATTAGCATTTTCTCAAATTTCTTTGTTATTAAATTTAAAGTTTTTTATTAGTTTTTTGACATTAGATAACAATAGTTAAGTTAAGGAATTGCAGTCAAACAACAATAATCCGTGAACTCAGACATTAAGTGTTTTATACTTTTAAATGAATGAATAAATGGTTGCATTAATTGCATAATTGATTACACTTTACGACAATAGTTGACATTCATTTTTATATTTAAATTAATTTATGTCTTTTTCATTAATCTTTATTTTATTTTCTAAACTATTTTTGTTTTGTTTTTCTCCGTTCAAATCATTTATATTATATAATGTTTGTATGGTTTGAATATTTAATTGAATATTTAATAAAATAAATAAAAAGCATTACGAGTGATGAGCTAAACAACAAATAAAATTAACAAAAAGTATATAAAAACTTATTTCATTGTATAAGAGATGTTTTGCTCCTATTTTTAATGTGTGTTCACCACTCACTCGATAATTATATACTACATTATTATAGACCCGTCACTAATGTTTTATAAAAACTAAAGTTATTATAATAAACAGAGACACGAAAAAAWGGAAATATATTTCAATTCAGTTTAGTTTCAATTCTTTAACTTTAAAAACTTAATATTCAATTTGACTCAAACACACACACATACATACATACATACACACACTCACTCACTCACTCACACACACACACACACACACACACACACACACACACACACACACACACACACACACACTAACTCACTCAGTCACACACTTTTTTCTAAAATACACCAAAATAATAAAGAAAAAGAAAAATTTGAGAATTTTGTACAAAAATACTATATTTTGTTTTCACTGTTTAAAATTGTGTTGACTTTTTTCCGGTGGGAACCATAGGCTGTGAGGAAATGTATGCTAAAGACACCATCCATTGGACTTCATTGAGAGTGACTGAGAGCACAGGAAACAGGAAGAAATGAGGCTTTGCTCCAACAGTTCGGTGAAGAGATCAATGTTTATGAATTAAATACATGAATTCAAAGTGTATTTTAAAAGTATATGAATTTAAAGAAAGAGATGCATTAGATTAGCATTTCTTATACTAATAATTATTATTATTAGATATTTCTATTGCCATATAATAACATTAAATGCCTCATTCATTGCTTTTCCTTTTTCGCCTTTATTTGATAATGTCTTAACATTGTTAGCCTTTTAAACGAAATATTACAATACTTGTGAAATACAAATATTTTGAACCATATGTTTGGTATTTAAATTTATAAATCATATAAAGTATCACTTATTTATTATCTGATCCAATCCAAGTTGTATCCGATCCGTTTGGATCACTACTATTAAATATATACACTATTTATAGTATTTTAGTTCATAAAATTGTAATTTTATACGTTTCTAACTTATTACAAATTATATGAATGTAACTTTTAAAAAATATTAATCTAAATAATTTGAATCTAATGAAATTCATGTMAATAAATAAGCCTTAAAATAATAAATATATTTTACTCATTGATAATTATTAAATATAATTTTAAAAAGTCGTTATGTTTAATGATAAAAAATGTCATCTATAATAATCATAAGTAATAAAAAATTAATAGTAAAGTCAAGGACTAAAAACAAAATAAAAACCAAAATTATTACATTAAATTCATTGGGATTTCGTGCAAACTTTTCATTTCGTTTAGCGAAACGTGTCCTTTAAATAGTCTATTAATTAATCATTTTGTATACATTAAGTTTGCAAAAAAGTAAATAATTGTTAACAAAATAAAAAATTCTCTCTTATTATTTATTTTGGACATATAATACACTGTCAAACAGTGAATCGAAAACTTTATGAGCAAAAGTTATGTGTTATTTGTATTTTTATCAAATGCATTGATCTTAAAAACTTATTATTGAATTAGTCGATTGTGTCCGAGAAGTAGTTATTTTAACACAAGTATGAAGTAATAGTTATGGTGTGTAATGTTATGGGGCAACGGTTCGGGGAACAGGTGCACAAACTATTAGTCTACCATTACTATTATCATCATTTCCAGTAACAACACAGGGATCATGAAAATAATGGTGACGAGACATTGTCATAGTTATTGTTAATGCAGGAGAGAGAGAGAGAGAGAGAGAGAGAGAGAGAGAGAGAGAGACCGAAAGTAGTGTCAAAAAAACCCAAATAACAAACTTTTTTTATTTTACTTTTTTCAATATTGACTTCAATGAATAAAATATACCAAATATAGCGAATATAGTAGTGTAACAAACAAACAAAAAAAGACACAAAACAGTAGTGACTTTTCAGATGAGTTCAAACAATTCTACTAAATGTAAGATAAGAATTGAGAAAAAATTGTTTGTTAAGAGAACAGCAAATGTAATGTTTAAGTGTTTGTAACCTTGGATTTGACTTTTATAACGATAGTGTGTGTGAAGATCACTAATGCTTAACCACTCACAAGAAATGGCAATTTCTGGATCAGTCAGTTGTGACATAAAGTATATTCATTAATGTTATATAATAACAATTTCTTTCTCTATTCACGTCTTCAATGTTTTAAAGCACTGAAAAAAATCTTTTATTTGATAGTCTCTGTGAAAGTATTATTTATTTACCATATTTATTGTTTATCGTTATAATCATAATAGAGTAGTGACGGCAACATTATTATGTTGTTACTACCTGTGCCTTACAGACTACGGCACTAATAAATAAACCTAACATATAATGTGCAAATCAGGTGCAAAAGCATACCAGTCCTCATCTTACGAGTCGAGCTATTATGACATCTATTTAATAGGCAATTCACAACTGTCCTATAAATCTAATTTTAATTATTTTACTGGTTTTTCAAAATTAACTTTTGTTATAATACAGTATTTTTTTATTTGAAATCTCATTTTCTTGGATAAGATGTTATACAACATTTTGCGTCCAAAAAATTAATTAATATTATATTCACATTGAAAGTTATATTGTATTAGTTTATTAAAATATAAGTACAGTATATTAAAATAATAAATACAAGTTATGTGTAATATATATATATATATAAATAATAAACAATATATTATATACATGTAAATGGTCTGCCAGTAAATTATACAATTGAGTGACAGTTGGAGAGCCAGCGGGCAAAAGGTGTTCGCGTGGTTGTTGTGGACACCAGAAGCTTGAGAATAGGCTATCGTGGGAATGGACCAAACAAGTAGAAAAACACGTGCGATAAGCTCTCTCTCTCTCTCTCTCTCTCTCTCTCTCTCTCTCTCTCTCTCTCTCTCTCTCTCTCTCTCTCTCTCTTACAGTTCATGTAATACCTTTCTGAGTGTATGTACTTTGAAAAAAAGATGAATACTATTACAATGGTTGTACAACTTGTACTAAAAATAAATGTAAGTCCTCCCTGGTCCTGGAACTAGCACTGACCCTGGCATTGGCACCAGTAGTATAATATGAACCCAGTTATCATAACATTGGTATCAATTATTTGTTTCCCACAACCATATGATCTGTTAAGTGTATAGATATTTTTTAATGTAAATTTTATGTTCAATTTTTATTTAAAAATTATTTGTATGTAAATATGTATAATAAAAATTTGGACATAATTTTTAAATATTATATACATAATTATAATAATATATTTTGTTAAGCATTTGTTATTCATAAAGTATTTTCAAATATTTGTGAGGATAAAAATTATTATTTTATTTATTTAAAAATCTTTCATTATGTGAGAAAATACTATGTTTTGACAACAAATCTAATTATGAAAATGAGCTAAAAGTCGACATTTAATAACAACATAACGTTTGGCATTGAGCTGAGGGTTCAATGAGATTATAATGATTTTTGACACTTATTTGCCATTCAGTACTACAGACTCTGTATTCAGTTTTATTCAACACATGTAAAGACTAAAGATATTTCAAATAAACTCAATTTATTATGTTATTAGTACTTAAATTGTGTTTTAATATTATTTATATAGTATATCATTAGATAGTATTATAAATTAATAAATTCTTATAATGTAAATTTATATACCGGTATAATAATTTGTAAACTAATATACAAATTAATTTTCGTATATATAAATATCGTAATACTGTATGTAATAACTATATTAATAATTAGAACATCTAATATATAAAAAATATTAAACAAATACAAAGTATTTTTAAATGGTTAATGATTTTTAAATATAAAATTTTTGTAGACATGTTAAGTGTGGGTATTTTACCATTTGGTCAATCTTATTGTTATCAAACTATTGGGTTATTAAATAAAATGAAATTCAATGTATAAATTGAATAACAGGGTGTATGACTTYAATGAAAAACGAGGTCATAATTTCATTGGAAACCCGCATCTATTGATTAAATTGATGGATAAATAAATAGTTTATACAATTAAATGAATGACATAACTATTTGTTAAAAAATGAATGATTGCTTACAAATGACAAACAAGTCATGATTTATTTTAAACAAAATGCAGTTTTGATGCCTTTTATGAATAAATATATCTTGTTTTGTATGAATGTCTTACAATAAATACAACAAAACATTTAAGTCAGTTATATAAGTGCTGTTAATAAAAATAGTCATTGATTTCAATAAATTGAATTTAATTCACAACTCAAACACTATTCTATAATTGGGTTGAAAAGGTTTCTGTCATTAATTTAATAGTGAGATATAATATTGTAATTTTCACATACAATTGATTAATCAGCTGATAAATTGCTATATTTTTTGAATATAAATTATATACAGAATGTGTAACAAGGAATATAATTTTTTTTTATTAAATCGTTATTATTATTATTATTACAGTATTATTATTATTTATGTCTAACTAAATAGACGCAACTAAGAGACTACTGCTACTATCAAACTAAAACTAGTAATAATAAATAAAATAAAAATACCGTTTTTATACTTTAAAAATCATTAGATAGTGAATCAAAGATAGCAATCGTTTTACATTATAAAACATCTCACGATTTATTATTTTTTTGTGTATACAATGATTGTCCCAAATAAGTGGGAACTCTTTTATGTGTATATTATATGTGATATTTTTGTGAACAACTAACTCATGAAAATACAGAACAAAATACTAAACAAATTATTAATATTCTTTATACTGTATAATGGGATCAGTAATTTAGAAATAACATTATCTTTTAAAAATATAATTTAAGTAAAAAATAAAATTAATTTATTAACTCCTTTTTTCTTAAGCTATGGCTTTTATAGTAAAACCATTTTACATATGAGTAGTTGAAGTTTCAAACCATAATCATGAAGTATGACCTGATTTGCCAGCTGTTGCTTCTGGTGCTGGATATGATGGGCTACTACTGTACTGCCATCAAAACGAGAGAGACGATAGAGATGGCCAGCACTAGCTATATATATATATATATATWTATTTTTGATTGTGTGTATTAGGTATTATTGGTTAGACCCTTAAGGTATAGTCTCAGGTGAGTCAGTGCTTTCTCACGAACGTCTTTCACCTGTTTCGGCACGCGATGAGTAGCGATGGGCACTAGTCATGGCTCTGTACCAGTGCTCAACGTATACACATTTATACATACTATATATACTTATATTTAACATATATATATCAATCCATATATTGTACACTAAGAGAGAGAGAGAGAGAGAGAGAGAGAGAGAGAGAGAGAGAGAAGAGAGAGAGAGAGAGAAAGAGAGAGGAAAAAAGACCCAGTCGTGGGAAACGTGGGAACAAATCTTAAAGAGAAGTTTTAAAAGAATAAGTTTTCTCTATAAAAACCACTTGAATAACACCCCAATCCTCCCCAATATTGTGTATCTTTGTGTGTGTRTAGCTGTGCCTCACTTTTTCCTTGTGTATACCCTATGCCCTCACTCTCTGGTCTTTCACTTTATTTTCTAATGTTTTCTCTTATTTTTCTCACAATTTCTTATGAGAAGAACTCTAACAAAATTTGTGAGATTTTCATTACCATTACTATAATATAGCGATCTATTGTTACCGCCGGTTGAGCTAAGCTACAGGTGCGCTATACCTGTTCCGAGCGATCGCTCACTCCGACAGTTTCAAGTAAAACACTGTTTTACTTTTTTAGACAACAAAATAGCATTTTATAAAATGATTTTTAAATTTGATTTGTGTTTCGCATTAATGTTTGATTTCATTTTAATTGCACTATTCATTGTCATTAAAAATAAATTGCTTATATTTAAAAAATAAACTTACATTTATTTATTTATCATTAATATTATACATGTAAAGTATTTTATATAATTTATATATTATATAAAAACACAAATATTCTTAAATATATTGCATTTTTTAAAATTCGTAATTTATTAATCAAAAATAATTTAAATAAAAAATATAATATAATAAATTGAAAAACTTATTTAAAAATAAATGCCTAAAATATTTTAAAATGATTGTCGTGTTATAGTAATATCCTAATCGTTAAATTTTAATAAATAAATAAAACATCGTTTAATTTCTAGGCTTTTGTTGTTATTAAAAGCAATAATATGATAATTTTGAAAGTAAGCGAAAAACATTATTTGATTGACAGTCTATTTGTTAATACAGCGTAACTTCCGGACTGTTACTCTATCCGTGTGTTTAGATGACGACTCCATGCGATGATTAACATCACTATCTGAGAAACTACTGGAAGAAGTAGGAGTAGTGGGAGTCGATGACAGATCCAATGCTGAGTCCATACGATTGATAACAGACTTGAGTTCAATCAAATCGTTGATTTCATTTTCTAAGGCCTCATCAAAAAGTTTTAATAACTTGTAATTCATATCTTTAGTGAGAATTTCTTGGACCGAATCTTCTAAACAAAACAAATGGTCATCACTTTCATGCGGCAAATGAATGCGCATAAATGCCGCCAATTTTGCCAAATATTCGACATTTGGTCCGCATATTCCCGATGAGTAAGCTATGTCTTTGGCGATCTGTTCCAGTGGTGCTGAGCCCAGAAATAATGAATTACAGGGCAATGCTATATAGACAAGAACTGGAAAGGACTCCTCTCTTGGGTCAAGCGGATGAAACTGTGCGATCACTGTTGTATAACCACCCAATGATGACTCTCTATTTGTCAGATAAGCTAATGTCGACGACTCATCTGTCAATTGAAAAGCCCGGCCCCAAGTGGACACCTGTTGATGTGTGCAAAACATATTAGTTACTAATGCATATAAATAAAATATATATCTAAATAACTCATATTATCAATTTTATATCAATTTTATATTTTCAATACTTTATATTTTTACTGTAATACTGTATATAAAAACAAGATTAGAAACCTATTTTATAACTTTTTTAGTTACAGTATAACTTATAATACAGTATTATTTAATACTAATATTTCTTAATATTTAATGTGTGACTTCTCTTATCATACGCTTTTCAATAAAAATTTTTATGAAATTTTTATAGAGATATTCATTGTCCATAAAAATGATGTTTTCTTATTGTCAACAAAACAATTCATGAGTTATAAAACATCGGTGTCTCTCACTATTTGGATGTCAAACACATGAAATTGAGTGAATGAGAGTGAAAAATAACTATTTGGTTGATAAAAGAAATGCATGATTTAACACATCAATGGACACAACCATTGAGTGAATGTCAGGGATCGGGTTGTTGTCAAACATTTTTGACAACAATTATGCGGTCCATAGCACCGAAAGTTTTCAATTCAATTTGAAAATAGTATTTCAAATTCAAAGATAATATAAAATTTTGTGGTAAAAGTCGTGCATTAAGTTATGAGTGATATGAATGACTTTGGCTGATAGTTGTTGTTTTAGATCAAAATAAGAGTAATGAGTGAGAAATAAGTGAAAAATGAGACAAAGAATGACAATTAATGATAAACTGGTCCTCACTTCGGGTCCGAAATCAAAATTATTGTATCGTTTATTGCAAAGTTCATTGACCCCTCCTTTAAATATATATACATAAATCTCTATATACTGTATATATATATATTGTATATAATATATCGTATAGTTATGTAAAATGAGTGCAAATTTCTCTCTATTTTCTCTCTCAATAGCTTTAGGCTCAAGACGTCGGGTGCGCTCCCAATGAATGAAGAGTTCATTTTCTCTCAAGACTTGTGTCGCAATCAGTTAAATGAAAGCCTAATATAAACATAACTTTATATATATATATATATATATATTGATATCATATAATATCATATATATATATATATATATATATGATGCGAAATATGTATATTATTAATATAAATAATTGTCAATTATTGTTTAGGCTTTTAAATAGCTTCTTGTTTTAGACTAATTTTTTTTTGAGTACAAAATTTCAAGTTTTTGTTGTTTTAGATTTCTATTAAATTTATATACTTATAGTCAGTCATAACTCGAGGCGAAGGAAATTAATTGCCTCCGACTTTCAATTTGTTTTTGTTTGCATTTTATAATTAGTTTAAAAACATATTATATTTTGCATTAATTTTGTTATCCAACACAAAATTATGGAAAATAGTTTTAATAAAAATGATAGTATGTTTAACGTTATAAATATTTTTAAAATGTTTTTAATATTGTTTATTAAAAATTCATTTTCTATACAAAATATATAAATAAATTAAAAAAAAATATAACTCACCCCTTCCTCCTCAATAAGTGTTACTACACGTCCAATCTGTGATATTTTCGGACATAAAAATTGATATAAATTAGTACAAATCAAAGTCAAAATTATGATTAAAATAAAAATAAAAGTGTTTTATTAACTAAAATTCAATGATTAGGTATGAGTTTTATTTTTTTAAAATATTTTTTTTGTTAATTCATTTAGTATGCATTCATTAATCCCTTCACAGGATTTTCTCACAAGTTTTTATATGTATTTAAAACTACTATTATTTTTATTAGGTTTTTCAAAAGTTTCAATTATTTTTAATTTATGTCTTAAGTATCACGATTTTTAATGAGAGAAAGAGATAGAGAGAAAAAAAGATTATAAACAGTTTAAAGTATTAAGTAATTTTCATATTTCAAAATGATTTGTAACACTAACAACAAAAACACAAAATACAGATTTATTTTTATATTAATTTACTTAAAATTACTCTATAAAAAAGTTAAAGCAATATAACATCTAAAAACTTAACTATATATTTAATATAATTTATCGTTAATTTTATAAATTATTTAAGCAAATACGTTTAAAAAATGTAAAATCAAATATAATTTATTTAATTTCCAAATATTAATCAATAAAAACGTTTATTGTATATTTTGTTTTAAATATTTGAATTTTTAATTTAATATTTTTGTTACTTTAAAATAAAGTCAATTATAATATCGTAAAGATTGTGTTCATAAATAAATAAATATTCATATAATATGTTTACCCGATTTATATAATGTAAAAATAGAAATAAATACTATTTGATACTATAATTAATTAACGAGTCAATGGGCATATTTTTTAAAAGTAATTTAGGTCATTATAATTATAAATTAATATATAAATCTACAAAAATAGTTTTGCAAATCATTTATAAGATTTCGTATACAATATAAAACATGAAAACATGTAAATGAAAATTATTTTATTAATCAACAAATTTAAACATTGCCTCAAATCATTATACTGTACATAATATCGTGTAGTTTTCACTTGTATTAATCAATATAATGTATATAAAAAAATTAATAATAATAATAATCATTAATATGGATGAAAAGAAATATTTATATTTTCCAATAATAATATAATTATGGGTTAATTAAGTAATTAATTAGATATGATAGAATAATTATTATTTAATCTTTATAATAATTAAAAAAGTAATATTAATTATCATAATTCATAATAAATTATATATAAATATATACATATGTAATAAATTATACATTTCTTTAATCTAAAGCTATTTATGAAGCTATTATAAAAAATATCTTTAAAATATAAAATATGAGTTTATTAAAATATGTAAATTTGTAAAATACAGTACAATGTAATTAATAGCAACTAAAACAGTATATATATAAAATTTATATAATATAATACTAATATTAACTAGTAACTAATATTATAAACTAATGTCATTTTTAATGTAATATATTAAAAAATAAATAAAATTATTCAAATGTTTATTATATCTAATTTATTATATTGTATAAAATATAAATATACAGTATATATAATTAAATAGAAAATATAAGTATTATGAATTAATTAAAATTGCAAAATATTATTGATAATAGTTAGTTGTAATACAATGAATGACTAATTAAAATTAATAAAATGTCTCTTCAATAAAATCTTAAATTAAATAAATATCATTTGAATGCTCAGATTAATAATAAAATTAAAAAAAATATATTATAAATTACAACTAATAGCAATGAATATTTGTATTTTTATAAATTGTTATTTTATAATATTTAAATTAATTACAATATATTTTAGATTACGTTATAAAATATCTTTAATGTATATAAATTATTTAATATACTCAAACAATTGTGATAAACTTATAATTTATCATTAATGTCTGTAATTCAATGCTAAAAACTGGATTTAAATTATTCTAGAAAAAAATGCATAAAAATTTTAAATTGTAAAAATACAAAATAATTAATTTTCAAGTAAAATAATGCATGAATGGATAAAAAACGCTTAAAAATAAATATACCAGTGTTTATATTTGTAATATTTTATAAGTAATCTATAAAATAAATTAAATATCAAGAATATAATTAGTATATAAACAAATGAGAATTAATAGTTTTGAGTTAAATTGTCAAATGAATTATGAAACTCTCAATTGTTTCATAATAATGATATAAAGTATATAATATTTTATTATTTTTATAACAATAATATAAATAAGAAATACTTGGATAAAATTATAAATATTTCTATCTTTTAGTTTGAAATCACTTTTAGTACTCTCTTATTCTACATTGCATTGTGTAAGTAATCCATTATAAATATTATAAATATTTTATTTATTTTAAAATACAAAATGATATACATAAGTAGTAAATACATTGCATGTATACACTGATACTAGTAATTTAACAAACGATTGAATTTAATATAAAAATTATAAAAACATCAATTTATGTTAAAATTATAAAAGTTTATTTATAGAAATATTATTTACGATTCATGTATTACAAAAAAATGATTTATAATTTATAAATCACTTAAATTAATTACATGAGATTCATTCATTCACTCAAATCAAAATTAATTTATAAATTAAAAGTAAATATTTTTGTTAATTACTTGATTTAAGATTTGTAAATAGTTAGGGGTAATTCACATATAACGTTCGCACTTGGGGAGGTGTCTGCCAAAGCGAACTTTTGCGAACGAGGGGGAAGGGGTAGAGACCTCAAGAACTTTCGCATTTAAATAATATTTTATTTCTTATGTGTGGGTATAACGGGTTAGGGATATGTAAACGTAATTTTTTAAATGACTACATTCGAACATAAGGGAGGAGGGGGTCTAGATTTCTTAAAATGTGCGAACGTAATTTGTGGATCACCCCTTATAAAACTTTATTAATGTTACTGAAACTTATTGACATTCACATGTCGTATCAAATATATATAAATATAGTATAATATATGTATAATTTTTCCCATTAATGTAAATATTATAAATTTTTTTTTGATCATTTAACTATAAAAAATTACATTTAATTATCAAAATAACTTCTGATTGACATTAAATATAATTTTGTTAAACAGCTAAACAAAAACAATTAAAACATTGAGAAAGTCTAAGAGTCATTGGTATTCAAGATATTCATTGTACAGATAACTTATAAACTTTAAAATTATTCACATGTTTTAAATAATTTAATGTTTATATCAACAAAAAAATTAAACTGATATGCAATGATTAGACCCGTTTTATGCTTGAGATTGTAAATATACTAATTATCAGTTGATTTGTAATTAAATTAGTTAATTAAATAAAATATAAATTGTAAGTCATGCATAAAGCATAAATAAATATATGAATATTTTTTATTAATATAATATTTAATTAAAAAGTCATTTTTGTTGAAGTATTGAACTCACACGTATATCTTTAGTCTAAACAAAAAATTATAGTTTTTTCATAAAACAACAAATATGATTAAATTAATATAATAGCTCTTTGTTTTTACATTGAATAAGTACTTGTTATTATAGTTATTACTAATATCTATAATATTAAAAAACAAAATTCAAACAAAACTAAGTTAATTAAAAAGCAAAATTCAAACAAAACTTTCATTAAGTTTTCAACACTTTTTTAATATATCGATAAATGTAATACTTATCCATTAATCAAATTTAACGAGAAATCCAATCAATACTACTGTATATAACTTTATATATTGAATGCTATTGATAGGGGAAGAGATAACTAAAAATAATTAAAGCATTTCTTATGTTTTTAATATCGATTTCAATTTATTACTCAATCAATAAATAAATTTTAGATTTATATGCCATTTGATATGATTGTCATTCACTACTCTTTATCATTAAGGTATTTCATATGTCAAACAAAATAATAGTTAAATTTTCAATAAATTTAATTAAATTTGTTGCACACAATTATTACCCATAATTAAATTTATTTGAAAGCATGCAAAACATATCATGTTTGACATTAAACTTATGATAAACTTTTCTAAAATAAAATCATTTAAATAAAACTATTAATAGATTTCACATAAATTTAACATAGAGTTAGTATTGTATTCATTGATTGTCACAGTATTTGATTGATTAGTCACCAGAAATGTCTTCCGCAAAACTTTTTGATCAAAAGATATATCACTAATCGTTAAGAAAGTTAAAGATAATTAAACAAATGGTTGCTTTTGAACAATCATTTATAGATTTGATGCAATTTATTTGGTAAGCAATGCTTACTAAGCATACAGTGTATGATATTTTTGTAAATAAATAGACAAATTTTGGTCAACATATGGCACCTCTTTTCATATCATATAAGAGACAGTGATGTCAGTCGATGACCTCAAGTACTCATAAATATAATAATTATAATCTATTTTATTAGATTCACATGTTTTCAGTGTTGCAAAACATTAAGTCTACTATTAATAGGATTCATAATACTATATGAATTACATATATTGTACTACTGTATCAAATATCATTAGAATATTAAAAATATAATTATATAATGAAAAACATAATAAAACAAATAATAACATTTAATAAAATTAATTTTAAAATAATAATCATTACTTTTTTAATTTTATTCCAATTCTTTTCCTAAAAACAATGTATATATTGGCTATCAGTGGGCTCTCAAAAAAGTTTTAAATTTATAATAATAAAAATATTAAGTTTTAATGAGACAATACTTTTACTATAAAAAATATCATATGATTAGTAATATTAGATAGTCTTTCAAAAAGATTAGTCATTTTTGACAGAAAATTGTGTAAATTTCATTGATATATAATACATATGCAATAGTATGTACAGGTATTTAATATATAAAGTATATTATATAGTAGTATTAAAAATATTATAGATTAAAATCACTTATTTTAATATATTATAAGTGGATATCCTTCAGCAACATAAATAAAAATAAAATATAAGTAAACTATAATTTTTAAAAATCCCATCAATTTAGCTAAAAATTATAGTAAATGCTCTTAAAAAATAAAATAAATGCAGCACTCAAAGTTATACAAATACAAATATACAAAATACTTTTAATTAAAATAAATACCAAATAAATTATATGATATAACTATCATATATGCAAATAAGTATACAGTATATATAAATTTACTCAAATATTGCCGGTAATATACAAATAGTAACAGGATATCATTTTTTTATTGCCTTGATCAATTATTGATACAATATTTTTTAGTTATGTAAATAATATATATTATGATTTAGTAAAAGATATAATATTGCAAACATAAGGCAAACCATTTGAATACAGACATCACATGCTAAGCACATATTTTGTTATAAATCGATAAAAAAATAAAAAACAACAAATTTGTAATTAAATAAAAAATATAATTCAACTTTTGTTTGTGATTGTGATTTGAAATACTAATTTTAACTGATAATCAACTTTCAAATTATAAAAAATGTATTTAAACTTTAAATATTTGAAAGTAAATGGAAAAAGTATTTTTATGTCAGTTAACAAAAAATAATTTAATGTCTGTTTTAAAAAAAATCCTTCAAATTTGTGGTGACCTTTGAATAAGAGATTTATATTAATTGCTAAATAAAATAATTTTTTGTTTTTTTTGCTAACAATATAACTGCTGTTTGAATGTAATGACAGATCTATAGTCTTATATAGTATTAATTGGTATAATAATTGATTTATAGTTAATTTAGTAAGCAATGTAAATACACGTGTTGGACACCGGGAGGTTAGGAATGTAGTGTATAGTGTGTATGTATGTATGTTTATGCACTGGTATGACATACCCGTTGTTTATTTCCCCGGTGTGTATCACTTCCCTGATAAAATCGTCGACAGTAGCCATGGATGCGTCCAATTTGACTGTTGCTGTACTCGAAGCCAGGATTCCAGATAAGAGATCCGTAGCCGAACACCCAAAGGGCCGATCCCGACATTGCCTACCAATTGGACACAACAACCCGTAAAATAATTGTCGACAATTCACACGAGGATTACCACACACTGATTACAACTACGGTGTGGCAAAAAGGGGTATACAATGGGGGCACAAATACTGTCAAATGAAAAACTGCGACAATTTTTGAAAGTTAGCGCCACTTATGATACCAGAGATGACTATTTGTTAGATATTTTTATGTTTAACTCGTTTACAATCAAACACACAGTAGTAATGCATCGATTTGTAAATTAATATATACTATATGTATATCATATAACTTATATGATATAACATATGATATTTCACTAAATTATATATACATACTAATAGACCCGTTATTATTGTTAATTAAATAATTAATTAGTTATAAAGTTATTAAAAAATATCATAAATTCATTGTGATATGAGTTTGTCTTATCATAACATTGATTGTAATGACAATTATTACACTATTAATAGTAACAACTGATACAAAAATGCTATTCAATAGACCGACACTTGAATTGAAATGTAGTTATAGTTGTATTGAGTTTGTGCTGAAAAAAATGATTACCAGATCTCAGGCATTGCTATACTGTATGCTATTATACAGTGAGCTCTACAGTACAGTACAGTAGTGTAGAAGTGAATGATGCAAACGGTGCCCATTGTTGCCATACATTTACTTTATATATAACAACTATTATATTATTTGAAATATAATTTTATTTATAACAATTTAGTATTATACAATTTTCATAGCCAATAGATTATTCAAAACAAAATTATATATTAATTATAAAATACATAATTTGTTTATATATTAAATTATATTTTTTTCATCGATATGTTTATGAGTAATAGCTTTGACTGTATTTTATTTACACATAAGTACTGTATTACTGTGCTATACACTGACGTCAGGTTTCTMCTGTATGTACAGTACTATTCAAAAAAGTGCAAAAAAGGCACATCTATTAACATAGCAAAACAATGTGATACACTGTTATTGCAAGTTATTTTTGACACTAAATTAGCTAATTTTTATGTCCAAAAAAATCATTTGAATTAACTTAAAAAGTTTGTCTAAGCATTAAATTAGTTATATATTTACACAGTTGTTATCATATTTGTTTGAAATAAGCTTTAATAAAGCAATCAATAAAATTAATAAAAGTTTATTTTATGTAAAAAACATTTACAATGAATTTCACTATTTTTTCAAACTACGGATATATTGCTTTCACGATAATTACTTAATAATAATTATTGTTTTTATTAATAATTATTGTTTTTATTAATAATTTTTATAGTTATCGATATATGTCATCAATACTACAATAATAAAGTAATATAATATTATATGAAGAGTAAGGGTGTTAAGTATTTTGGCCACAAAATGAATTGTAACTCAATTTATGACTAATATAATAGTAAACTACTGTAGTGTACAATATATTATCATTATTAGTGTATTATATAAATAAGTAATGGGTTTCTATAGATTCGCGGAAATACTAAATTACTTTAAAACTATTTACGGATTTAAGGAAATCAATGGTCATTGAATTGATTGAGAAAATCCATTGCAAGACATTCCTTACATTATTGTCAGTCTTAAAGACTTTATGCACACAACTGATAATTGTTAGCCGATTCAAGAAAAACTATGAGAGAGAGAGAGAGAGAGAGAGAGAGAGAGAGAGAGAGAGAGAGAGAGAGAGAGAGAGAGAGAGAGAGATTAAGTGTTTAAGAGAGCTATCGGTTTATTATGGCTTTGAGGGCACATAACAGCGACAGTAAAAGGAAAGACAGGCAAAGAACAGCCACTTTTTGGGCGCAAATGAGACATTCAAATGAAGCGTCACTAATGAACAAACATTAACGTGCATTAAGAGCTGGACTTAAACAATATATATAAGACATTAACAATCGTCACAACGACCGTCTCTATGACCCTGGATATGATGATCGATATAAAGACAGTCATAAATCATGGGCTCAAACTCATGAGACACTCACCAAATCAATACCAGTACTGTCCCATGTATTTGACAACCAATATGATTGCCCCCAAACAATATACCAGGTATTTACCAAACACTTACGTTTACATATCCCGACACATACTATGCCTACATTTGTAGTATTTTATGTATATATATATATTCTACAACATTTCAACATACGTATAGTTTATATATATATATAAACTATACGTATGTTTATCTACAGGACATTATGATGTATGCAAATGTTGTAGAATCTAATGTAATGTCAATTTAGTTAAATTTCTTAATACAAAACACCGATCACTACACAACTACTAGTGTTCAGTGCCATTGAAACATACAACACAAGCAAATTAATGAAACCAATGTTAGTGTGGAAAACCCCTGCAGGAGGTTTGAGATGTGGGCCAAAGTATTTACCTTTAGGGCCAACCAATGAGGTCGACATACTATTCAAAGTCATAATGAGATGATACCGACAGAAGCAATGAATGTAAACCCCTTTCCCCTCACTCTATCATCTCATTCACCATTCATTGACATTGTTTTGATTGAAAAATTGTTGTTTTCTAAGATTTTTTAAAAGTAAATTAAAAAAAGATAAAACGAATATTTTTAAAGTTTTTAAACAATTTTATTATAAAAATTGATTTAATTTTTAAATTAATTTACACAAGCATTCACTTTTCATCAAATAACAAACATATATAATATTTATATAATATGTTAAATATTTTATATTAATTATTCTTTTCATTTTACAGATTATCGCGACTGACTTTTTTTGTTAATTATTTTTAAATAATATTAATCTTTAGATAATATGCTTGATGTTTGACTAAAAATATTTTAAAAACATTTTTCTTACTTTTTTCTTGCTATTACATAATTGTATTATAAAATGGTATATATTAAAATGTATAAATTAAGTAAACAATGATTGTATGTGTTGGTTTTGTGAAAATTAAAACAATTTTTATAAAAAAAACAATAGAATAAATAGCGTTTATTTTTTAAAAAATATAACATATAATTGGCATGAAATGTATTTTTTCATTAATATTATTTTGTTTTTAACAAAAAAAATAATACTAATAAAAATAATAAATAATAACATGAGTATATTTTGATTGTTAAATTAATAGCTAAAAATAACAATTGTATAGTTGTGTTTTTAAGGCAAAATATAAAAGTAAGAGATATGTTTAATACACTGTACATTACATATAAATTATAAATAGATGTCATATATTTTTAAAAAAATATTTACTAGAAATTGTTTTAAAAACAATTATTTTTTTTATTCTAAATTAATCATTTAAGTCTACAAATCTGTTTAAAATGAAAAGATCGACCAATTTTTATCATTATTTTCATCAATAATAATAATAATAATAATAATATAATAATTCATAAATATAATCATTTGTAATTAACTTTATACACAAGACAACTGATAATTATATCTTATAATACATTAATATGTGTTATCATAATAAATATGTTTGCATTTGCTTTTTATACACAATTAAAAATAAAAATAATATTTAATTAGAATAATAGGCATAATTAATAATAATAATAATAATAAATAGTAATTTTGTTTGTTATATAGAAGTCGGGTAATACCGATCCCATAACAAACATATACAACAGTTCTATAATACTCTATATGTTAGTCTAAGTCACTCTAAAACCGGCAATGATTTGTATGACAAGCCTGTTGTTTGGCATTTGGCGACTGATTGACAACATTTAAGAGATTGTTGTTGTCATATATGAGATCCACAATATTTTTCCGACTGTTGTTCACTTCATTGTGTTGTGCAATAACAGAGTGAGGCCTGTTATCAACCAGCACTTTGGCTGTTTGTGGCCCAAAGGACACACYAACACCACCTCCGAGTGCTTTCTGAGATAATTCAGTGTTTAACAACTTATTATTATTATAATTGTTGTTTGATTTAGTCTTTATTAGCGACTGATAGTTAGTCGCCGATAACTTTTCATTCACAGACATTCGTGGATTTGAATAAATTATATTTTGTTTTGAGTCATATATCTCATGATTTGTTAATTTACTGAGAGTCGCACTTTTGCCGCGATTTAAATGATTCAGTGATGAATGGAAAGATGGTTTGTCCAGTGTATTGACTATCACATTAGCACCCGGTGCTAAGCTCACCCCTCCTTCTGTACACTTGTTGTTCATAGAAGTCATAAAATTTTGCTCATTTTGACGACGGGCTTCTTCTTCGTCTCTCTTACTTTGTTTCGTTAGTCGACTCTTATGGTGTTTGCACACAATTATTGAAATGGTGGCTATAATGGCCAACAAGGGAACTGATGCCGACACTAAGCCAATGATAATAAGCTGTTTTGATGAGAGAGCTTCGGCTCTTTCGCCGTCAATCACAGTCATAGGTAATGGAGTCGAGTTGTTGAGACTGCTTTCGATGTTAAATATAACCAATGAGTGCTCACATCGTTGTCCAGAATARCCAACAGTACACTGACATTCATACTCTTGCACTCTATCAACACAAGTGCCGCCATTAAGACACGGACTCGACTCACAGTCGTTGACATTGACGGAACAGTCTTTGCCTGTATATCCCAGAGCACACGTGCACTGGTAATCATTGATCAAGTCTTGACAAGTTCCTCCATTAGAACACGGTTTAGCCAAACAGTCATCGACATCAATGAGACACAAATCACCAACAAATCCCGGAACACATAAACACCGGAATGCGTTAACTTCATCAATACAGGTGCCACCATTCAGACACGGATTCACTTCACAGTCATTGATGTTTATCTCGCAGTTATCGCCAGTATAGCCGGCCTTACACTGACAGCTGTAGCTTTCATCATCTGTGGCCATACAACTGCCCCCTAAAATATAATAGAAAATATTATATATTTAAATATATATTTTCACATATTTATATATAAAAAGTATAAACAGGAACTGCCTATAATTTATATTTCCTAAACACTATATTAATAAATATTCAGTAAATATATAACAAAAACTTTATTTACCATTAAAACACGGGTTGGGATCACAATCAGTTTGCTTGACCTCACATTTGTCGCCTTCATAACCGGCTTTACAGATACACAAGTAACCGCTCGGACCATCCACACAAGTACCCCCATTAGCACAGGGATTATTAGGACAGGCACTGGCCATTATTTCACAGTGCTTCCCAGTGAATCCTAATGGACACTCACACGTATAGTTGTTTGGTGTCGTACTCTATATTAATAAAAACAATAATTTATTAGTTATGTATAGAAAAGTAGAAAGTTGTTCAACAAATGGCATGTTTTGATGTTTGCCTTTCTGGGAGTCAAGTATTGGCTCCCAGTGTGTGAAAGACATCCGTTTTAAAGTACATGACAACTACTGTCAAACCGATTTTTGATTATCAAAAGTAGGCTATACTAATGGCGCTCTTATATTTAGTACTAAATTAAAAAGTTAAATATTGTGGGCGTTTTCCCTCTTTATTTAAGACACATAACTCCTGTTTTTGTTGTTATGACTGAAGTGGTAAACAAGTAGATAAAAAATGTTTTCAATCCCTCATTAACTATACTTCACAATTGTTTATCTCTTGTTATTAGCAGATATGCCGAGCAATGGTTACATAAACGTATCGGAATTAAAGCCAATGCCACCCAATCTTTTTCATACATATTAATGCAAATATTCAACTACCTGTTCCTTAATACCTAAAAGTTGTCTCTTAATAACATTAAATGCATTTTATATAAAACATTTGAAAGCCTAATATACATTTAAAGTTCATTATAACTGTATATCCAATATTATCCATCCATTTAAAGCAAAAACAACTCAATTATTCACAACTCATTCAATGGGTATCGAAATTCATGAACGAAATAAATGATAGACTTTTCTATCTTTTTAATTGTCAATTAAAAGAAAATTCGTTGCTATTCTCGGAAATCATTTAATAAATATTATGTATTTTGCTTTTATAGTTATAATGAACTGAGAAAACTTGTTTATAAAGAATTGCTTATAACTTATTATACAATATATTATCAGATAATTAAACACAACCAGAGATAGTCTAGAAATTAGAAGTAAAGACATAGACATTTGAAATACAAACAAAAAAAGTCAAAATGTATAACAAATATAGGAATAGAATTGTAATGTTAACTATTTGAGTGCCATTAGACTGTTGTAATAAAGGCAGAGAGCACTGGTATGTCGGGCTATATATTCGTGAAAGAGTGCTGTCAAGTGTGTGCCTTTGGGGCACTAAAAAACATAAATTGTATGCGAATAACACTATTAAGAGCCAAATAATAATGTTGAGGACATGTATTTCAGATCACATTATTATATTCAAAAGTAAACTATAAAAAGAAAGTCAAGTGTTTATGAATACTATGGCATCATTTGTATTGATTCAATTGAATAGGTAAGGGTAGGTATGCGCCCACATTAATTCATCCAAAATAGATGATGTGATTGTTTTGCTAGTTGTGCGCTAAGCTCATACACGTGCACTTCAAGAGCACTGATATCACATGAATTTCCAGTCACTATATAGTAAAGTGATTGATAATAATGATGCTATCGGTTGACARCACACCACAGTTAAGAGGCAATTGATGTGAGAATCAACATTACGGATCACTTTATAATAAACATATCGTATTTACACAATAACTATAATAATATTACAGTATTATAACTATAAGAAATACATAATAATGTATTATACAGAATATCAAATAAATTTATCGATAAACCAATGCCAATGGTTTTACATAATATTGTTTATAAAAATAAATACTTATTTTTCATATCTATCATTTGTTTAAATATCTTAAGCATAACTCAGATGAGTTTTACTGGGAGTCAACACACATACCAACYATAGATACAGACAAATGAAATATACTGTATATATAATCACAAAGAAAGACTAGAAATTAAGAGTTTAATAGTCGAGTACTAAACACAACAATAACTATGAAATCATAATAAAAATAGTTATTWAAGAAAAAGTTGGTTTCATATTGTTTGTCATTATTCAAATATTATGAAAACTTTTTTACAATTATATTTAATACACTTTAATTTTTATGAGGAAAGAGGTGTTAACGCTTAAGACTAACGTTTTTCAAATGGTTTTTATTATGAGTTTKAATATATAGTTTAGAAATGCCTTTGAGATACTGAAACTAAAAAACTATTGTGTCATATATTATACATTAGTTGAATCTATTTTTATTATGCACTTTGAAATTAACTCAATTTATTAGTCTATTACAGAGCTGTCATTGTTAATAKAGTGAGTGTTGTTGATGTTTGCACTCAAATTGTTGTTTAAAAAATCAAATCGCGTTTTTCACTTTCAATTAAAGCCAWAACTTATACATACATACATCCATACAATATAAATATATGATATAAGATGCGAATTGATTAGAAATTTTTCGTTGCCATAATTGACTGATACATTGAAGTGCACGCAATCCTATCATCCGATAGATATGTGTGGAGCACTTCATTCAATATCCAGTTCCCCACTTTATTTCCAAACACCAGATTCTCAGAAATCTATTATTTAATGGTATATATAGTTTTTGAAAGATTACTCTCTATAATAAAATATATTATCAAATATTTTACGCTCTGTTACTTTAGTGGACGGGTATCTCTCTATCTCTCGGGGCTATAGGTTCGCTATATTATGCCTTTAATATATTAACAAGCAATGACTACTGAAAAACTTATTTCTTTTTCTTAACTTATTTTCCAAATAAACTTATTGTTATGGATCTGATAGATCTCTCACGAGTTGAGGACAAGTACTTATAAATTGAGAGAAATGCGAAAATAATTTGCTATTTGTTTGCAGCGTGAGGTCGATGGCTGTACTCTAATAGATGATACCCGAGAGCACTGGACATGACAATTGATGGACAGACATATTGACAGCAACTGAGTACATAACACAAATATAAAGTATCAAAGTAGCATTAGTTGATATATTAATATTTGAAAGCACCGGTAAGGCAGCTGCTTATGCTGTTGCTTTAAACGGATTATTTTCTTAAATCTAACAATAATCAGCTGTCTTTGCGAAACAAATACAAGACATTTATAATACAAAATTTGCGTCAATTTTATTACCAAACAATTTCGACTCTTTTTAACAATTTTTTCACTTATAGTTTGAAATAAAAGCAAGCAATCAATTTGCTACACACACACACACACACACACACACACACACACACACACACACACACACACTATTAAGAGGGCAGCAGATGTGCCGCCAATCTATTGGACTCACAATTTATATATACTGTTTATAAACAGTGGTCATCACTTCACAAGACATTAAGCTAAAGAAAGGACGACATCAACAAAAAAAAAATATAAGAAAAAATAGAGATAACTGTGTGTTATTGTGTGCTTAAATGCGTCTTATGTATAGCCCGTATATATATGTTGAGCCCTTGAGCCACCTGTCCCTCCATTAGTGCCTCATATTTATACTGAGTATTGATTCGGTGTTTTGTTAATTCAGTTCTCAGTAAACTTAATGGTTTGACATCTTTTTCATGTTTATGCCATTGACTTAACATTTTTAATGAACACTTACTTTACATGTGGCTCCGTTAGCACAGGGAATTTGGGCACAACTATCAACTTCTTGTTCACAATTTTTGCCGGTATATCCCGGACGACATTCGCATGTATACCATCCCTGTCCAGTGTTAGTACAGGAACCACCGTTCTTACACGGCTTATGGTTAGTACAATAATTCAAATCTATTTAGGGATGACATTGAAAAACAGGTAAAAACATTAATTTAAATGTCATTTACTGTTCAGGAAATACAAAACATTTCATATCAAATAATAATAATACAATGTTTTGACATCAAAGGAGTAGTAAATGAGAGATAAATACATACCTTGATTACAGAGCAATCCACCCCATCCCTCATCACACAAACACTCCCACGGCTTGGAACAGTAGCCGTGCAAACAGCCCGGGTATTTGGTGCACTGGTTGCAGTTATGGCCTTCCCATCCATATCTACAACTATTTAACGAAAATAGTTTAAAATATATAATTATTTTCATGTTTCTCGTCTCAAATTACTTAGTAATATAAGAAATGTATAGTAAATATAACGACAGCTTTAAATACATTTCTATTTGCAATTTGATTACACAAGTAGTCATTCATGAAAGGAAAGGGAGATAGAGTATAGTGTAGAGTATTAATAGTAAGAATTAGATGGAAAGTTAGTTCAAACATAACTATTATTATTTAATTCAATACTTACTTGCATTCACTGGGTTGAGAGCACTCGCCATTCGTGGCATTACAACCTTCCCTACAGATTGCTATTTGAATTGTAATTAAAAAACAAATAAAACAAAAGTTAAAAAATGGCAATTATTTAATAGTTTGTGTAGTGATAAACATTTACATTTCAATTATCAGACAATTGATTGACAGCTAATGCATTATTAAATAATATACTTGATATGCATTAAAAATTATGATCAAGTGATATACGATTCAATACAAACATCAATCACACAGTTATTACATTTATATATAGATTGTATTTTTGCCATTGATTTCCTAACTAAATATAATGTGATTATTTGTATGTTACATAAGATTACTATATTTTTGTATCAAAACTTCAAAATACTTTTAATACTACTCAACAAATTTGAATCATAAAATTACTTGTAAGTTAAAATAAAAATTATATTTAAATAAATTCATACAGTACATGGAAATTAAGTTTTTAATACATTTATTTCCATCACAATTATCTTTATTATCGATAGTATACATCTTTTACTATTATACAGTTTCTTAACTTACATAAAAAATATAATTTTTATAAATTAAAATATTTATCTGAATACTAAGTAAAAAAGAGATCATTGAATTAATAACTGAAATTATTAGGGAAAAAATCTATATTTTGTTCAAAATTCAAACAACAAAATACATATTCGTGAAAATAAACACAAAATATATTAATACAATATATATATATATATATATATATATATATATATATATATATATATATATATATATACAGTATATACTTAAACACAAACATATACACTATTATTGGCCTGTCTTGAAGTGAATTGATTAAGAATATAAAAGACGGTTATCCAGGGGTCGGGTAAAGTAAAGTAAGGTTAGGTCGTCTCAAACTCACTGCTGGGCTCTTGTATTCATATAATGTGTGCATAGAATTGGCTTTTTTGACAACAAAAAAAGTAATAATAATAATATAAATAAATTGAACAGATTTGTAGTTTGAGAAGCAATGACCTATTCCTCCCTTCAATGGGTCATTATTGTCAAATGTAAGCTCAATATTATACCTGAGTTTTTGTCATATGAAATACATATAAAAAACAGTTCAAGTGTTTTAAACAAACTTAATCTCTAAATAATCAACACTAAAACTTTTTTTTATTTGATTTTATATGCTTTACAATAATTATATTAAATATTAAAAATATGTTTAATTAAATAATATTATGTACTGTATAACATTATACCGTATTATATAAAAAAACTAAAAATTATAATCATGAATTCTCATATTAATAATGCATTGTTTTTATAGTGAAATATATTATAACAATTTAATAAGTCATAAATATATTTTAATACAGATTGATTGCATTTATGAGATCTACTATAATAGTCAGTTGTTGTGGGTATCCTATCTAATGAATAATGGATAACAATATCAACTAAATAATATAATGTCAAATGTAGGGAATGGTTGAAAAAACTGGTAGTAAAAACAAGTAGTAGTATTTGTGGGTAGACAGCAATATACAGAAGAGTATAATCAATGACCATAACATACAAACAATTTTTTTTGCTTAACTCAGTTAATGCTATATCAAGTGGTTGTTTATGTGGGTAATGTGTATATGCATGGACTGGTATTATTTTAGTTGTAAGCATACCTTTTTCACAATAGTTGCCGTACCAGCCCTGATAGCAAAGCTTTTCGCCGTTAGGACCACATGTGAAGTGTCCGTACTTGTCGTCTCTGGCCTTACAGAGCACATCACAGTAGTCACCGAAATAGTTCTCCTGACACGTGACTCTGTACCAGTAGTTTAGTGAAGTTTGGTTATTGAGTGCACTCTTTTGTGTCCACTTGGAGTCCACTTTAAGATACCGAGACATTGCCAGACGTGTGATCAAAGTTCGGGTCATTGTCTTTGTCACGGCTATTGGTTTTGTGTCAAATTAATAGCAAAGAAATATAAATTAACTAAATTAATATCGATTTTATCGATTGACGTTAGAATAATAAATAAAATGAGTGTAGCCTTCAATGAAAACAGTCAAATGAGTCGCACAGGTATGCCATTAGTAGCAACAAAAAGAAAGATAGAAAGAGAGAGAGCAGTCATTTGGTTTTCTCACAGTAAAAACATAAGAAGAAAAAAATTAAGCAAATGTTAAGCAAAAGGCACTAAAAATTTACGAACATTTGAAAGAATTAACTCTAAAAAAATGTTTTTATTTTTTGTTTCATCCAATTTTTGAGCTAAAATTGAACTTTTAGTCTCGCTATGAGAAAAAAGTCCGGTTAAGGACCCGCCTTCTTCCCCCCGGTGTGTCTATGTGTGTGAGTATATGTGATATGGACGAGACTAAAGACGAGAGAGAGAGAGAGAGAGAACCTGTAGTCACATAAGACAGTAATTTTCATCGCCAACTGCTGTGTGAATATTTCAACTACTGGTGCACAGCAGCCACCAAATAGTAAAGGATATGATAGACGTGAAGACCTTCTCTACCGGTTGAGCCCCTTTTGCTTCACATGTATGAGCCCTCTATCTTACGGTGTGTTTACCCCTTCTCAACACTGGATCTATGCACTGATATATTTCACTACATTCTGTCTCTTATTTTCTCACAACTCATTCCCACATTCATAAGAGTTTCAATTTATATACAGTAGTAAAATATTATTTATCATATTATGTGAAACACAAATATCTGTATATCAGATATTTATAATATTATGTATAAAAGCAATATTACACTCATATATGATATGAATTATAAACCTTTTTTGCTACTTATTTCTCGCTCTTTTGAAAATAATTTACTTTTTAATTTGTTATTATAAAGTTAAAGCAGCACTTGTTGTTTGTTCCGTTTTGCGATACATTAAAAACTTTAGAGCACTTGTTGCTCAGGTATTCAGTTGGTGCTCAGGTAGTTATGAGGAGATATTCAGAGACAAAATGAAAGAGAATGTCTGATGAAAGCAGACGCTTAACTAATTTTTATCTGAAAGACTAAAAGGGAGAGCAGAGCACAGCACAGGTAGAATGAAATATAGAAGCGAATATATTATACACTTATGTAGAGAAAAAGGCTGAATATCATCGACAAAATTGACTCATTTGAAAGTTTAAGTAAAGTAATGGTAAGACTCATAAAAAGTAAACTTAATTGAAAGTAAACTTCAAGTGAGAGAAAAATTGAGTGGAAATTCCTTTTGGGTCAGACATACCTCGAGACGATGTGGACATTGATGATGCAGAAGCGTTATGCCAGGCCTCCACTATCAATGAAAAGGTTCCCTACAATACATGATTATAATTGACAGCAAAATAATAACAAAAATTTATTAGCATTATTATTGTAAGAAGTAAACGATAATATTATGGAAAATAACTTTTTGTTTTGTTTTTTTTTGTTCAGAACTAAACAAACACATACTAACTATACTACTGTATAATACTTGTATATAATCTATGCTATAATTAATAAAAGTTTAAATTAAGTTAATTAAAGTATAGATTTTTGTTGTGTATTTCAAGCAAAACTGATTTAATATAAAATTTTGTTTTTGTTGTGACAAACAAATTATAAACGGCTGACTCATAATGATGTAAAACTACTAATTGGGCTAATGATAAGTCATATTATATAATAAACAGGTATATACAGGTATATTGAGTTTTGGATTTAATACATACCGGCCACGAAAAATTAAACGGGAATCGAATGGTGTCGTTATCAGTAAAAGAAACGGTACTGTTGTTGACAACATTTGTAATGACCTCACCATAAGTACAGGGAGGACTGGGATCAATGTTGGTCTGGTAGTGCTTAAGACACACTCGAAAGAATGTGTGACACTTTTCTTGACATACTTCGTGATTATCGTCCGTTTTGATGGCATTCCCGCAACAGTTACCGATGGCATCGCGACTTAAATCATTTATGAATGAAATTAGTCTAAACTCGAAAACACCCGACGCTGAGACCTAATTATATATATGACAAGAAAAATGAGTAATTAATGCTATGTTGTTATATAAGTAATAAGAGAAGTGTAGACATGGGATGGATTGGATATATGATATAAATAATAAAAAACTAATTAAAGAATACACCGAAAAACATCAATAAAAGGATTTATGGCTTTCAATAATAATTATACTGAAATTTTTATAAGGAATTAGATGATAGTATACATGTATTATAATAAAAATATGTTATAATATTAGATATTGCCATTCAATCAGTGATCCCCCTCTTTGCTTAAGTGTTTGTATAAGAAGGTGTGGCCGCCCGGCGCTCTCAGGACTACTACGACTACTATTACTATCGACCCTTATATTAACAAATTCGAGGTTTACTTCTATAGCCGGGAGCGGGTCGTGCCGTAAACATCATAAGAAATATGAAGAAAAGCTTTTATATTAGCAGATATGAGAAGAGATGAGAACCCAATCTTAATATTTAGGATTAAACAGTAACACTACATGAAATGGTATGGCATGAAGGCAGGGGTGAGGCACAGGTACTACTGATCCCACGACTTGCAAAGTGCATGCATTTATATACATACAGGTATGGTATCTAATCATTAGTTGAGAATCACTATATAAATCGGGAGTGAATCAAACAAAACTGTTTTTATTTTGTTCTCATTATTATAATTTTCATGATTATTATTATTATTTACTAAAAAATCTTATTTTGAGTAACAAAATGAATACATAAGAGATATGTGGCCCACAATAGTAGACTTAATATTGTATTATGAAGTGATACCATGTCTTTGATGACTTACAACATACCTTTTCCCCATCATTTAATGCATGGCTCGTGAGCCAGCAATTGCACCRAAAAAATATTTTTACAGTAGGTTTCCGTATAATTCTAGTGCTACCTGTTATGCTACCCGACCACTATCTAAATTCTTTATATACAAAGTATACAAACCATATAATATAAGTCAACGAAAATAATGATTTGCTTATGTATTATTTGATTTGCTATTTGACTCTCTTTTTATTTTCAGTGCTTTTATTTTGAAACAAATTAGTCTTTGAAATAAAGCAAAAAATACTTTAACGATAGGGAACTACTTTAACATAAAAAACTTTAAAATATAATAACTCAACACAAAAGAAAATATTCACATATTTTTTAATCATAAGACATGACCTCAGATCTGATTTTTGTGTGTCGGCACTACTCATAACTTAAAAAATTATCTCAAAAAAATGTTATTCACTTTCGCTTCCACTCCATATGAAGTGTCATTTCTTAACCAAAAATTTCAACTTAATATTAATATTTATTATAAGAGTATCTGTTATTTAGACTAATTTAATTTTTTGTGAGTAAAATTAGTATAAATTTTTTATACTTAAGAGTAACTGATAATAATTTTAACAATGTTTTTGTTAAAGTGTGTTTGGATGTGATCTAAAACAAGTAGCATTGATAGTAGCATACAGTATACGATAGGACGGCCTACTTGTACATTGAGTGCCCGCAGCCATAAAAACGATTGAAGCGGACAATAAATTTTTGTTTCACTGACTAATAATAATATATGAAATTATATAATGTATTTCTCAAAGTAATATTTCTTTCACTTTACTATCTCATCCCTTGATGTAAAAAAGAGGAAATACCTATTAAATAAGCACCAGTATGTATGTGTATGTGCTTAGACTCTTGTCTAAAATACACTAAAATAATGTATATTGAAAGATTACGAGAGCGTTTCATGTAATAGCAAAAATATGGTATATATTAAGCTTAAATAAGTTAAATGTAAGTAAAGTAAATGATTTGTGGGGCTCATTGGTATGGTTGGCAAGTTGTAAGACTATATTTACACACACACACACACACATATATATATATATATATATATATATATATATATAGAGAGAGAGAGAGAGAGAGAGAGAGAGAGAGAGAGAGAGAACAGGTAGATGAGAGTGAAATGTTTTAAATGAAAATATAATTCGCGTGAATTATCTAATGGCTCAATGAATGGCTTACTATTTGACATCACTTAAGTTTAACAGCAATAATATCCTTCAAAAAATGAAAAATTATTATTTCATTTTTTATATTCAATAGAAGTCTATTTAAAACATTCAAAAAATTGTTGTAAATGTTTGCCACACATCCTTAAAATGTATTAATAATCGCTAATAAAGGATCTCTTGAGACTTTATTTTATTTTACAATCATTATATACTGTATATATACAGTAGTCTAATATTGTCAACATATCTAAGGCAATATACATCAATATACCTGAGCACACTTAATAGTGATATGGCTAAGACTTATATGGGTTATAAGTTATGGTCAACAATCTAAACCTAAAGCAATTGTAGATAAGCCACAGTCATTAAGAGAAAATAGCACCGGGCGATTTTGGCCAACACAAAGTCAATGGTGTTACACTATGAAAACTTAAGGGATTTGATTCAACTTTGAAAAGTTATGAGAAGCCCGTCACCATCAAAGTGTAGCCGAAAATTAAGAGAAAAATATAAAAGTCACTCTCTATTATAGCGCAATTGCCATTAACTTATTGGTATGTTATAGAAAGGTATGCAAAAAAAAGTAAGTAAAGGTATATTGAGAGAAACCAGAGAGTAAATCAAGTGATAGACATGTAGAATATTATCAAAACGATCTCTTTTAGACACATAGAAACCCATAAAAACTTTACGATAAAAATTATAACTTTTTTATTCAATAGAAATCTAATATTTTTTTGTTGTAATAAAAAAGGGAATCAAAAATTCTAAGGTTGTTGTGTATAGAAGGTATGTGCTCGACATCAATAGACTTAGACAACACACATACACAATGAATACCTATCAATGATAGTAAGTTTCTTAAAATTAAGTCTAATTTCAAGTGATTATAAATGAGAACCAACACATAGTCAAACACAGATATATATATATATATAAAGGTAAGACCATATAATAATGATAAGTGACACCACAGGAAGTGAAGTAGCGGCTCAATGATTGCTCACAACCAGTCACAGAGAGTATCCGATTTTCAATGGGGAGAGTGATGTCAGTGTGTGTGAGTTTGACTGTGTCTGTGCTCACTATGAGGTGGCGTAAGCGTAAGCTTAAAGTGCACTCTCCTTACAGTTTGTGTCACATATAAAGTTAACCATTCAATGATTACGATGGGGCTAACTGTGCGCTCAATTGGAATATATGGGGCCAAACATAGTATGGGGCAGTCGTGTATTTGCGACCTTTTTTCTTAAGATTTCTGTATGTTTGTCCCTCTCTATCGTTCCCCGAGCAGGAGCTCCTACTTAAAGAGCAAACTATCGTTAAGCACGTCGTCAGTCCCGTTCCCACGCTTTGGGCCAAAATGTCTTTACTATTAGTTATATGTTGTGGTAGTAGGGCTTGTTGTAGGGCTTATATGGCACTAAACAAAACACTTCCACTGCTGTTACTATCATATGATTCTCAATATGTGTGACTTCTTTCTTAAGGCAAACACTATTTTTCATATGAAATCCCAATCAAATGCTACCGAAAAAAAAAACATTTTCAAAGTGTCGTCCACTTTAAAGACACTGAGATATTGTCTAAAAAACGATTCAAAACTAAAACTTCAACTAAACTTCTCCTCTCTTTCTGAACAGTGATCGAAATAGTGATCAAAACTATTTGATAAAATAAAAAATATTTACCACTAATTAAGCGATACAGAGATAAGGAGAGACCAATAGTTTTTTATAGAAATTGTTTTTTTCAAAACTATTTCTATTAGTATATATTTTTCAATAAAAATATAAAAATGTTTTATGACTTTAAATTTTTTGAGAGAAATCATTTGAATGTTTCATTAATTATTTATAATATAAACTTTGAGAAAGAAAAACAAAATTTATTTGTGAGAAAATGTTTTGTCAAAAATGTTTTATATAACAAACTATTATTAGTTGAAAAAGTGATGTCGTGTCCAAAAAACAACCGGCTTTTCACTTAAAAGACTACAAATTAAACTAAACTAAACATTAAATATTTTTTGTTTATATTTAACACACGATAAAAGCTTTTGGACTCATCTAACAAATATATAATATAAATATATATATATATCTATGAGTTGTCGAGGGATCAAATGGAGATGGATTTGTATGTGTTTAGTCAGACACGAGACTAATGTATGGCACAGACATTAATGAGTGGACATATAAACACATGCTTTGATTGAACTTAAAGTTTAGTTTATAAAGTGATTGAGAGTACAGTTAAATAAAAGTATTAAGACTTACATTTTGATGACATAATTGATGAATAACTAAAGTTATCAGTAGTTTACAAATCAAATGCATTATCACTTGACTTGTTGTCATATTCCTCTTCTGGGCCATTGTTTAGGGCACTGATTGGCTAATTGGTCACTGACTGTAGGTTTAGATAGCGATTCAAATCACACAACACAACACATCACTTATATGTAAAATTCACGTCAAATTTAATGAATCAAAATAATTGAATTTTCACAGCAAAACACATAATATTTTTGGACACAATTTCTTCAGTTGATATATTGTTGAAGTCAAATATCGGCCACTTTTGTTGTCCACACAAATGATTTGTGTCTTATAAATGAGTTTTGTTTCTCTTCTTCTTTTTTTGCTTTTCTTCTTAAATCTTGTTTACAGAGAGACAGTCAGTCGTCTTAGCATTTGATTGATTGCTATAATAATGAATTGAGTTATTAGTAATAATACGGGGAATATATATTTGAAAGAAAAAGCTATAACTTAATAAAGTATTGTTGAATATATGTGATAATACCTAACGACATGTTATAAGTATATAATGAGTGGCGAAGATTATTAGCAGATTTATCAAACATTTTAAATACTTATTAACAGTAAGTGTTGTTTGAGATATGAGTGAAAAACTCATTCATTCAAAACTCTCTCTCTCTCCTCTCTATTAGCCAAACGTTATTTCCCATACATTACTACTGAAACTATTCAATCACTCATTCATATACTACACAATCAATTGTCAATCAAATACAATAAGCTATACTCTTAAAGCAATTGAAAGCCACATAACTATACAATACTTTTAAGTACTGTATTAATTGCATGATAGCGACGCTCAGCGGTTGACCAGAAAGTAAGTGACAAAAAAGTTTTGGGCAAAAACTTTATAAGTATAATAAAATTACAAATTATATATATATTATAAAGTTATAAAAGCTTACGTTTTGCGATAATTTAGTCCAAAATTGACAATACAAGACAATTAAATATTAATAAAGGTAATCCAATTGCTATTTATTGCTATTACTAATGAAACACAATTTAAAAAGAGATCAATCGGTTATTATTAAACTCGAAAAACTTTTTTATATAAATGAGATCAAGACTAGGAATGGATGACAACAACGATATTATTGATAATTATTATCAAATTTAATAATTATAATCCAATATGTAAATGTTGATTTAGTTGATTTAGTTGATTTATATTATTTTAATTTTACTTTAAATTATATAATAATTGATAAAACACTATTTGACAAATGAATTAAATATGATTGATTTTTTTAAATTGAAACAATGATCATTGAATCACTTGTTAAATACCAGTATTTGTGTGGCACTGAACGTATTAAATATAACTAAATGTCTACAACACGGCTAATAATGATTTATAATTATATGATATCTTATAATAGTCTTAATCAATATTATAATAGACTGTCTCCTCTCATACGGTTAAGATATGTTGAGAGGAAACTATACTCTTAAGTCTAATAAAACGTATGGCTTATCATACGATATATTCAATGGCAATAGCAATACACACAACTCAATGAGCAATAATATTCTTGAAGTTTAATTTTAAGAGCACTCGGAGCTGAACCTTTCGCTATGAGGTACAGTCACTAACTACTAGTAGCACAATATCTATCACAGACACAGCTCTCTCACAGCTACAATACCCCAAAATCTTGCTCCGGGCTCTCTCTATCTGCCAGTGACTACCTTTTCAACCAATGTGAAGACCCGCCTCTGAGCGCATGCAATACAGCTCTCAGTCAGTATAACAACTGAGCTGAAGAGCAGCTATCACTACACAACAGCACACTATATATTCATAGCCACCAGTTCTTTGCCGTATCTCCTGTACGGTTGTCTCCCTATGCCTTATGTTGTCATACAATGCTCTCCCTATTATACAGCGTGTGCGACGACTCATATGTTTCTCAAAACGAAATTTAAGAAAAAAATCTCCCGTTCCTCACCTCTCTCTCTCTCTCTCTCTCTCTCTCTYTCTTTCTTTCTCTCTCCCCTCTATTCTCTACTCTTTATTTTGTCCATTATATTCTGTAAACTCAAGAGTTGGTTAACAGTAGAAATTGAATCCATAATAAACTACAAAACAATATCTGTTATCCCATATTCCGGACATTGGCAGCAGTTTGAGGCTCACAATTCAACTCATTTTATTAGTATTACATACAATATCGTTKATCATAATATAGCATAAGTTAGAAATATATTAGAAAAAGTATTGTAATATTTCAATAATTGATCGATAGATTAGACAACCGGAATATTAACGCTTTTAATTTAAACATTTGTTAGATTAGTTTGAATTCAATTTTTCTACTAACAATAATTATTTTTTAATACATATATTATTTATTATATAGTATATTAACAATCTGTTCATTTGTTGTGTATATATTTATGTTAAAACTATGTTTTATCTGTGTTTACGTACGAAAACTAATAATTTATTTTTTTACATTTCATGACTTAATATATATGAGATAAACATTAAATAAACGAAGTTAATAAAATGTATTATTGAGAGGAACAACAAGTTTAACCGAAAACAACAGTCAAAACTAAAATAAGTTTTTAAGAGCAATGTTTAAGCAAAGTTGGAGTTAATCTAAAAATGTGTGCCAATTATTATCCGATAATCAATGAACAGCAAAATAAAGTGAATGAATACATAAAATAAAACATATGTCCGATAGAAACACATACTAATAGGACTTTGCACTGCACTGGACGCACATCTTTCCTGTAACAGAGTTTTGAGAGTTAAGTGTGTATATGTATGTATGTATGTGTATATATGTGTATGTATATGTGTGTGCCTCGGCCTTTAAGATATAGGGAGCAGCTGTCACATCCATGAACCAGTGCACACCTGTCTCCTTATGCTTAAACTCTGGCCTCTCTCTCTCTCTCTCTCTCTCTCTCTTATAGTACAAATGCATGAAAACAGTAGAGGACTGGAGACTTTAGTACTGACTTTGTGTAGTTATGGAGTCACAACCCATTTCCTCACTTCCTTTCTTTTTATACCTCAAAAGAGCTTTTAAAAGCAATGGACAGTCTTTTGGTACGGTTTGCAGCAAATGATGAAAATTATATTAGAAAATAGAATAAATAAGAGTTAGCTATAAGTATAACTACCGGTGCTCAGGAATAAACTGTATTATCGTATGTAAAGCTTTATTCTAAGTGTTTCCCAAAAACAGTCCTTTCCTTCCAATTTCTACACTTTAGTATTATTTGTTGAGTCGTATATATGTATCCATTATATCAACAAAAAAAACACCGGCTTTATAAGCAACTGTATCCTTGTGTATGAGTCAATCAACTAAATTTAAACCTCAATACCTAAGTAACAATAAAAATATAATTAATTATTTGCTTATTGGCATCAAATAATTTTTTTTGTAATGTAAATACGCTATCTATAAGTACTTTTAAGATATCATAAAAAATATTTGATTAAAATTTTTGTCAACAATATTGTTTAGTAACTTTATCAGTTCAATAACAATATTATAATATATTACTTTCTGTTTTTTTGTTAACATTCAATTGGAACAAAAAAAATCAAAATTTATTTAATGCTATATAAAATGTAATGTAATGTATGTACACTCCAATTAAGTTAAAATCTTTAATATATGATATGTTAACTTTATTGCTGAAAATAAAACTGTTTCAGTTATACAATACCTACGATAAAATACTATATAACAGAGCACTTGGAGCATAGATTTTTAAAGTAACAATAAGTAAGACATTAACATCTTAGATGATACTATAATATATAGTATATAATGTTTTTTAATGTTAGCAATGAGTTGTTATGAGTGAAGGAATGTAAAAAAATCGTTGAGTCGGTGCAGTCGTATTGAGACCACATTTTAGGAGACGGTCTCATAATCAGAGGCACACACACTCACGCACAATGACGGCACGTGCCATCAATTTTTAAGTTTCTTAATAGTGCCTCAGCACACGTTCTCAACATATTCTGCTATATACGGCACGTGTATGCATATTGTATATATATTTGTATGTGTGTGTAGGGGGCACACCATTTTTATAATCAGCAATATGTTGGTCCACAAGCAAGTAATAGCAGCTGTCTTTTGTGGCTCAATTGCACGCGTCTTGACAACACACACAACACGTTGCACGCGTCAACACCGGCTGCTCTTTCTCTCTCTCTTTTCTATGGCAGCACAGGAACAGCACTGAAAACACAACACAACGAGTACTATAAGAGTCAAAAGAAAACAGAAAGAAATAAAGAAAGAAAGAGAAAGAGAGAGAACTAAGTGAAAGAAATAAGAAGCGAGTCGTCTATGACGGGCACTGATATCCATTTGGGTCTAAACTACATGTCCTCAACGGCACTCTCTGCTAAAACGGGGACAACTTTTCCGACACATTAAGTTTTTGCCTCTAATCTCTCTCTCTCTCTCTCTCTCTCTCTCTCTCTCTCTCTCTCTCTCTCTCTCTCTCTCTCTCTCTCTCACTCACTCACTCACTCACTCACTCACTCACTAATTCAATGGTTTCTTTTGCTAAGAGAAATCCCCTCTTTTTCCAACATATAGTATGAGCCCCTTATGTGTTACTTTACCAATGAGTCCGATGAGTAGTGCAACAAACACTGCAGATGCAGTCAAACAATTGCATTGCTATACACACTGTTTTTTTTTTGAAGCACTGACTCACTCGCCTCACCCTAAAAATAAGGATTTGTTAGGAAAATCATAATAAAAGACATTTATAAATGAAAAGATTTCCTTTAGAGTTAGTTACCAGAGGTTTTGGTAACCATAGAAAATAGTCTTTCCCTATCATACATCTGGACTACTCTCTTAGTACTCACTTAGTCTCTCTCTCTCTCTCTCTCTCTCTCTCTCTCTCTCTCTCTCTCTCTCTCTCTCTCTCTCTCTCATACAATCACCGCACTTATCCCTCTTTCACTTATGATTATCGATTAAAGACTAATATATTAGTCATGAGAGTAGAATCACAATTAGTATCATACTTGAGACCAAACGGTGAGAGAGATGACAGCATAACAAGTGGCCCGTTGTCTGTTTGCACCGGTATTGCAACAATATATAAACAGTTTTTTTAAATCTATTATTTATATGTATGCTTAGGCTAAACACAAATTGGCAAATATATTAAAATAAGATTTTTTCAACTGCTGCACATATACTGTATATACTATACTGTATGTACTATACAATATATACTATTTAATATACAGTATATAATATATATTGGTTGATAAGTTAGGTGAGGTGCAGCATACACTCGCAACTGCTGCACGTTCCGATACATGACATGTCTGTCCCAATTATAAGTAAACTTGTTGGTGGGTTACAACCATCTGTGC